ACACTGACTTTCACAGTCATTTCCTTGGGCTGTGAGGTGGGGACCTCATTTGGGAAGCACCTGGCCCTCTGGGAGATGCGGGAATGTGCCCGCTGCGCCATGCCTTCCTCTGCCCGTGGACCGCGGCCGGGAAGCAGCTGCCTCCATCCTGGACCATCCAGCTGTGCTGAGGGGAACAGCCCCCAGGGGCTGGGTCGCCTGGCACCCCCCGTAAACCAGCCTGTCTTCGGATGAATCAGTGCTCATATTTATAACTTCCTGCAGACCACTTTCTTGTGATTTTAAAGCCTAATGGAGTATCCATGTCCAGCTTTTATCTGGAACAAGATGGGCTTTTAATTAGGTGGAAAGGTCGGCTTTGTTGGATGCTGGCTGGGCTGAGGCCCAGGACAGAGCTGCCTGGGCTGCAGACAGGACGGGGCCATGAGGATGGATGGACTGTCCCCGGAGTGTCCAGCCCCCATGGCTCCCGTCAGTGGGTGTCACTGCCCCCACTGAGGTCCAAGCTGGTTCCGGTGCCTGAGTTCTGGTGGTGGGGGGTGCCACCCACTCTCACACTCCCTCCCTCTCACACCCACGTGGAACTTGTACTCACGTGCACCCAGGTGGGGCTCCCAGAGCGGTTACTGACTCTGGGTGAGCAGCCGAGGGCGCACCTTCTCCAGTCTCCTCCTTTCTGAGCTCCCTTGCCAATGTCTCCTTCCTCTTCTGCCAGCCTTGCCAGGCAGCCTTCAGCCTTGTCCAGGGCTTGGGCCCGTCTGTGGGGCAGGCGGGGCTGGTTTGCTGGGCAGCTTTTCCCCAGGAAGGGGAGGGGGCCCTCAGGTTTGGAGCCTGGCCAAGGCCATGTTCTCACTGGGCCCTCCGATGGCCCTTTGATTACTGGCCACTCAGGATGGTGTACGTCTGGCCCACCTGCCATAGGGCAACATGCGTCACCGGGGGTGCCAAAGTGTTGTTGTTCTTGGGAAAGGTGGCCTCCTTGTTCCCTGGAGCTCGTGGGGCTGTCTGTGCAGCTGGAAGGGCACAGGCCAGATGCCCTGCTGCAACAGGACATAAAAGTGAATTCCGGACGCTGACTGACCCAGTGCCCCTGAGAGCGGCGGAGGGCCGGAAGGGTGTCCACGCGGCAGTGCTCCTCTCTGTGCTGAGGTGGGCGCAGGGAGGGGCAGTGCCGGTTTAGAGATCTTTACAGCCATTTGGTTTCATTGTGACATTTTTATTGTGTCTTACAAAAGCATTTGCTGCCACAGGTCAGGGAGTACACTGGTTCTGGACCACAGCGACAGGCAGTGGCCTGAAGGTCCAGATGTTCAAAGGAACCCGGACACACTAGGCTGCTGTTTAGGGGACCGTCCAGTGGCTTTGAGGGGACAGGACAGGATCCTCAGGACACAAGGAGGGACGGAGGGGTTGGCGGCAGAATGAAAACGTAAGTGCGGCAGAAAAATGAGGGCAGGCCAGGAGGAAGCCTGTGCTCTGAAAACGGGGCACCTTGACAGGAGCCACCAGAGAAGCCCCTGGAATACTGGGCAAGGACGGAGAAGGGGCCTCGTGAATGAGGAGAGGCAGGTGCCGCCAATGGCAGCCGAGCCGAAGGCCTCACCTGAGAAAAGGCAGGAAGTGCAGGCTGGAGGCATGTCCTTTGGCCTCTGTAACAGTTACAGCCCAGGTTTATCCTCTTACAGCCTGGAGGTCGGAATTCCCAGGGGGTCTCCTTGGGCTGAAATCTATGAGTCTGCAGCACTGGTTTCCCCTGAGGGCTCTGGAGGAAGAGTCTGTTTCCTGGCCTTTCCTCTAGAGGCCCCCACTTCCCTTGGCTAGTGGCCCTTCCCCCATCGTCACAGCCGGCAGTGACCAGTTCAGTCTTGGTTCTGGTTTTTCTGTCTCCCTCTTCCCCGTTCTGGGACCCTTGTGAGTACAGTGGGCCCATCCAGATAGTCCAGGATAATCTGTGTACTTAAGGTCAGCTGGTTAGCAGCAACCTTCATCCACATGCACCTTCACCTTCCCTTGTCAGGTGGCAGAACCTCTCATGGGCCCAGCGAGTAGTAGGATGTAGACCTCTGGCGGAGGAGGTGCTATTCCATGCCCCCCCCCACTCCCAGCCGCCCCCGCACCGTCCCAGAGATGCCTGTCTCTCCCACCCGCAGCACACCCCTCTGGTGCCAGTGTCCACACGGGGGAAGTGTAAAACCGCTTCCTACCAGCAGTTGCCAGTGCCGAGGGGCTGCTTTTGTTCACTGAGACGGGTGCCCAGGGTTCCTTGTTGGACGGAACCCACCCTCTGCTACTTCGAGTCTGGGATTTTCATCCGTTGACCAGGTGACCCTGTTTGGGGAGCCTGTGCTGCAGAAATCAAAGCACCCGCCTGTCAGGGCATCAGCTCAGCGTCACTCAGAGCGCCCCAGCCAAACAAAATCCAGGGGAGGAAACCCACCCGCTCTGCCAGGACCGCTGGCACAGGGCAGAGGTGGGGTCCGCTCACTGCACCTGGGGCAGCCCTGCCCCACCTGGGGAGTCTGAGTGACAGAGGCTTGGAGTATGCAAAGGTCGCCTGGCTGTGGAAGCCAGGGGTAGTTAGCCTTACTTCCTATGCCTTTATGTATTACAACATGTGCGTTTCTTTTATATGTAAGAAGAATCTGACCAAGTGAAGAACAAAAGTGAGCTTTGAGTTGGTTCCCTACCTGGAGCCGAGCCTGCATGAGAAATCCCAGGTGTGTGGCTCCCCCTGCTGATAAGATGCCAGCATAACAGCCTGCTGCTCCCAGTGGGACCCAGGTTGTCTTCCACCCACACAACACAGATGGCAACAGCGTTTGCAAACCTGGTCACACTCAGCATGGTCTTCCTCGAGTTACCGCTGCTTTGGACACTTTTGGATACATGAAGTGAGTGTGGCTCACAATTTGAAGGTGGGGCACAGAGCCTGGCATTTGCAGGACCCTCTGTGCATGTAAAATGAATACCCCAGGCTGAGTCACAGACCCCAGTTGTGTGTTCAGCCAGAAGTGAAAACTGGAGGGGGGTGGACTGAAGTGTGTCTGGGTGAATTCCTATGAAAGCAAAGTGGAAAATCCCAGGTGGCCAGTAGCCCTGCTCCCTCATTCTTTCCACCCCTCTGTGTGGCCAGCGGCGGTGAAAGGGCAGGGAGCAGGGATGTGCCTGGCGTGGTGCTGGCGGATGGCAGTTCCCAGGTCTCTGGATGTGTGGGAGGCAGAGCTTGAACCACAGCTGTCCATTCTATGGTGGTTCTGGCACCAACTTGCCGTCCTGGTTGCATTTCCTGGGCTCTGGGCGGAGTTGACTGCCTTCTCCACACTTGCGCCATTCCTTGGGGTCGGGGGGCAGTTATGGAAGGATCCAGAGGCTGTAATTTCCCCCTGACTTTTTGGCTCTGGAGATGGCCCCCAAGTGGGTGGCCTTGGACAGGGCCCTTTGCTCTGAGGAGGGTGGGAGCTTCTGGCCTGTGTGTGGCCGCGCAGGGGCGAGTGGCTCCAAAGCTTGGGACCAGGGTCAACCTCTTGTTCCAGGGGCCTGGGTGTCTGTCCCACGGGCTTGGGTCTGCATGATTTCTTTTATACCCACCCGCCTGTAGGAGTCACCCAGGAGCTTTTCAAAATGCTAAGGTCGGACCGCCCTGCCTGCCCAGCACACTGGGACCTCTGGCCAGGCCCAGGCTGGAAGGGCTTCTGAACCCTCAGATGACTGGACGGCAGGAGCAGGTCTGGGGCTGGGTGAGGACCCGGCCTCCCCTGAATTCATGTGTGGGTAAAATGAGTACATGTGCGTTTGGACAAGATGCCGCCGTTCTCCTGGACTGTAGTGGGGGGCCTCACTGTGTCTCCAGGACGGCCACCGGCCCCTCCTGCCATCCCCCTGCAGGCCAGGCCCTGGGGTTGCCCAGACCATCCCTGAGGGAGCCCCCTTCCCAGCGCTGCTCTTGGCAGAATCGGCCCGTCTGCCGCAGACTTGAGCTTTGTCATTTTCTGGGAGTCCAGAGGACCATTAAATGCCCACCCCCCTCTGTGTCTCTTGGACACATTTCTCTTCTTATTGCCCTCCTGGTTTATTCTATGGAACAAACGATTTTATTTTTCTAAAGGGGAGGGTGCGGTGTCAGCCCCAGAGTGTGGCACCTACAGGTGCCACATGGAACCCATGGAGGCAGCAGCGGCCTCCACCTGTGCAGGCCAGGTGCCAGTGGCTGTCTGGGCTTTGTGGAGAAAGCGCTGTGGGTCCCCTCCCTCTGTGTACAAGAAGGAGACACGAGTTGTGTTCTGGGCGACCTCCACCTTATGTGTTCCTACTGTTAACAGCTATTTCTCGATTCCGGCTGGCTGTGCGGCTGGAAATGAGGTGAGGGAGGAGCAGGCCTGGGCGATGCCCCAGTGGCAGTCCGTGATCAGAGCGGGGTCTGGGGTCCCCCAGCTGCTCCCTGGTCCAGCCTGCCCTTGTCCTCCGTGTAGCCCAGGCCAGGCCCAGGGGTCATGGTGTGGGGCCCGGGGGTGTGGGTGGGTTTGGGGTGTCAACGTGTGGGAGGAGCTTGACTTACGACCCCAGCCAGATTGAAGTGAAGTGGTCACAGGTGGGAGCTGAGCAGGACAGCTGTTCCCCACCCTCTCCCGTGGGAGTCCAGCCCAGCAGCCCTCAGTAAAATCCAGTTAATGAGCAACCTGCCAAACTCTTAAAACCTAACCAGACCTCTCACTGCACAGTGTCTCAGCTGGTCCTCGTCTTCCCTGTTTGTTGCTCTGCAGACCCCACCCTCGGGGGCCCGGCTCTACAGCAGAGTCGAGTTTGGGGGGGGGGGTCCTGCGTGGTACTGGGACCCACCTGCCTGCCTTGGCCAAGGCTTGTCATCCTCGCAACAAGCTCTCGTGGGTTCTAGAAGGCCACGGGGCAGGGTAGGGCTGTGCCTGTATTTGAGGGTCCTGGGATGAACCCACATTTAGAGTTGGCTTTTTCTATGGAGGGTGAAGCAATGCCTTGGTGCTCTGGTGCCAGGTTCTGGGAAGCTCCAGTAAAAACACCGGTCAAATATTAACTGCCTGGGTCAAGCACCTTTATTTGAAAGAAATGCCGTCCCCTGTGTGCCCCATCGTGTGGCCTTGTTCACGGACAGGACACCGACACTCTGCACCTAGTAAAGAATCTGCGAAGCGGGTCTCGTGGGGACACTGGAGAGATGCCGGTCCTAGAAGAGGGACCTTCTTTTCTGCTGGCTTGCAGGGCGTCTGTGCCCCTCCTGGGTGTCCAAGTGGGTGTCTGGCCCTTCCCAGGGAAAGGTCGTGTCACCACATAGGAACGTGGTGTCCCTTGGTGGGGAACCTGCTTCCCAGGGGGGATGGGGGGACGTGTTGCTGCCGCTTGTCATCATCTTCCGAGAGGTCCCTCCCCCGGTCCCACGTCCTGGACTGGGGCGGCCACCCCTGTGTCCTCTGCCCTCCCCCACCTGATGCCATGTCCACTTCGTGGAGGCTTTCCCTGCACTGCGGCTGATGCAGTTCAGTGCCCAGAGCAGGGCTGGGCACACACTAGGAGTTCAATACAAATTTGTTGAATGAATGAAGGAAAGTATGGCCCTTCGAGGTAAAGAATTAACGCACAGGGATAAGATTTAGTGTGGGACCCTGAATTGGGACACAGGACCAGGACCAGGACGGGCATGTGGAAGACCAGGGTCAGCACACCCAAGAGGGCTGGGCGTGCTGAGGGGGCCAAGAGGGCTCAGAAGCACTTAGGAGGCTGAGGACTTGGGAGTCATTCAGGGAGAGCTCTGCAGACGGAGGTGTGTGCTCGCCTTCCGGGTACAGAGTCTTCATCCCCAGCGCATGTGCCGCGCATCTGTGGAGGCCCGGGGGTGACATCAAACCTGGCCCGGCAGAGCTTCCCTTGTTGGACCTGGAACCTCCCAGGCCTCCAGGAATCCCAAGAAAACTGCATGGAAATGAATGGGAGTGTGCAGGCACAGACAACACACATGTACCTGCACACAGAAAACACACCACATGTGTGCACACATGTGTACGCACACAGTGCCACACACATGTGCACAGAGACGTGTCCAAACATAGATGCACGTGTCCCCACATAGACACACGTGTGCGCACATGGAGAGCCCGGGGGTGGGTTATCGGGTGGACAGTGTCAGCAGGCTGGGGCCGGGAGCCGTGGAGGGGAAGGTATTTCAGGCATGTAAGGAGGTCGTCTCTGGGTGAGGGGCTGGCAGGCACTTTGCTGGGGTCAGTGGCCCCCACCAGGCACAGTGAGTGTTTGATTGGGTCCTTCCAAGGACGTTCTCAGAACCCCACAAAAGTGGCAGCCACCCCGTGACTCTCAGTGACTCACAGTGCCATTTACGTTGTCTCCCCCCAGTCCCAGAATGCTCCTCTAACATTCAAATCCCCCTCACTGTTTGATAATATCTCAGGGCCCTGGGGCAGCTGTTGGGTGTGCTCCTCCAGCTGCTCGTGACAGTCACCAGGCAGCTCTGCAGGCATGTGATACTCTGCTAGTGGCTAGAGGTGGCCGTGGCCCCAGAGGTGGGCAGGGGGCCGTGGTCTGGAGTATTCACGTGGAGGGATGCCCTGCTGGGTCGCAAGGTTGGCTCAGGGTGGCAGGGCCCCGGCTGCCCTCCTGGGTAGCCTGCCCCCCACCGGGCAGCAGCTGCTGTCCCTCCTGCACAGCACGGCTCCTCAGTTCCTCGTCCTGGCTGCATCTGGAATTAGAGTTGAGCCAGTGACCCCGGGGAGTGCCCCAGTGCTCGGGGCCACTGGACCGATAAGGGGGCAGCCCTGCAATGGGGAGTCTGGCTCTGCCCCACATGAGTCCAGAGCCTCTTCCCCCATCCGGGCAGGAGGAGAAGGGGGAGGGCTGCTGGAAGTTCCGTCCTGAGGTTTGCCAAAGACACTTCAGGCGTAAAATCACATTAGTGGCACTAAGTTTTCAGGGAGACTGTTCTCTGGGCATTTCTAAGAATTCTGTGCATCATGAGGATCGGTGTTGGCAACACGGCCTCGCTGAGACACAGGTGTTCGCCTGTGGGTTGCCCCCACCTGTCGAGAGGGAACACAGCGTTTGGCTGTTCTAAAACGTGAGTACTGACTCCGAGCCGCCGAGCCCTGCCCTTTGGTTGGCGTGCACCGATCAGATCCTCTGTTTTCAGCTGGCGACTGCAGGGCTGTTTCAACAGAGCTGCTGTCACTGCTGAACTCTGCCCGGAGGGAGAGTGGGCTGAGACCCCCAGCACAACCACGAGAGGACGGGATGAGGGAGGGATGAGGGCAAGGGGACGGACAGCAGGCGTGCTGAGCACACGTGGGATCTAGTGTGGAGGTTGAAACTGTGAGTGTGAATGTGTGTGTGTAATCCTGTTCTGGCTCTCCTCTCTTGGGCTCTGTAATCTGGAGCCAGGCATCTGGTCTCCGTGCCTCAGTTTCTTTCTTGCAGACCATGAGGCACAGTCTCCCAGAATGACGGCGGAGCGCTTGGCACCGTACCTGGTAGGCTGTGGCATGTCTGTCCTGTACAGACAGCCCTGCTGGGGAAGAGCTCAGAGCAGTTTTTGTCCAACCAGGGGTCCCTGGGCTGTGAGCTGGAGGGGCCTCACCACCCCTCTGTGCTGACGAGTGTGAGGATAGGGCTCTGGGCCAGCGGCCTGACCCCCAGGGCGGCCTCTGTGCTCCTGCTGCTGCCCAGGGCTGGGGCCCCCACTCCGGCTGGGCAGCACAGAGTGTAGGTGCTGGGCATCGGGGTCCACCTGGCAGCATAGGGGGGGTGTTGACTGTAATCAAAGATGGACGCCAGCACACGCAGTATGGAAGCAGCCCCACAGCAGGCACTGGCAGGACTTACGGCCACAGGGTGGCATCCTTCCAGTGTCTTGGACAAAGAAAGTGTTATCCGAGGTTGTATCAAGGGAAGGAGTCAGGACACAATGGGAACTGCCCAGCTGCACACTGGCCTGGCCGGCGCCCTCTGGAGCAGTGCCAGTCAACGCGCAGGTCCCGTCACTGCCTGAGACGTGGCTCGGCAGAGGCACCTGCTGAAGCCAGAGCTGTGAGAAGGCAGGGCCTGGCCCGCACCGGGCTGGCATCTGCGCTGTGGGCAGGGCTCCCTCTCCAGCGCCATCTCTTGGCCTTGGGCAAGCTCACAGTCCCCGCTCCATCAAACAGACTGAGACCTGGAGGATGGGGGTGGCGGGAGAGGACGTCTGCGTGGGACCTGCTGTCATGGCAACATCGGTCTCCGTACATTCCATGACACCCCGCTTTCCCTCAGTGTCGATACCCCAGTGCCGCTGTGCTTTCCTTCCAGTAGTTCTCAAGAGTTAACTCACAAAACCCTGCCAGACTCCGAGAGGCCGATCACAGTGGTACGAGCAGGATCAGCGCCTGAGAGAGACTGTCTAACCAATGAGAAAGGAGTCTGGGGTGTTACTGAAGGCCATGTGTCACCAGTGCTTGAGCCCGGGGTGTGGTCTCGGGTGAGATGGGCCAGGAACAGCCCAGTGTCAGCGAGAGGGGTAGGAGGGCCAGCAAGCTGAGGACCAGCATCCCTAATCGGGTGGGAGCGCAGGTCCCTCACAGGTCTTCCTTCATGTTGAACGTCTCAGAATCAACAGTTCCAGCAGAAGAATTGGACTCGCAACAAGTTTCAGTTTTATAGCAGGGCGGTGGCCCCAGGCCAGGCTTCCCCGACCGTCCTCAGCAGCAGCGGCTCCGAGCATGGTGGACAAGAGGGGCTGGGGCCTGCAGTGGCTCTGGATGCAGAGGGTGGTGGGCAAGTGGTGCTGGGGGCCGCCGCCTCAGCGTCCTGCGGGTCCCAGCCGTGTCCAGAGCAGACACCCCAGGGGGGCTATGCCAGGCGTCTTCTTTGGAGTTGGGCTCTGTGGAGGGCACCCAGGCTACAGGGCCAGGAAGAGAGAGAGTCCTCTCCGAAGCTGCCCTGTGGGTCAGGGTGCTGGCCCAGAGGTGAGCCAGCGCAGGGATCGGCAGCGGTCTGGTGAGAGGCAGCGAGGCCTCTCCAGCTCACGGCCCAGGAAGCTGGGAATTCTCTGAATGTGCTTAGATGTCCACTTGGCCTCTTGGCATCTGTGGCTGCTCTAAGGAGGTGTGAGAAGTTCCCAAGAGTGCCTGTCACCTTGATTTAGGAGTTTGCCTTTTTTTCTTCTGTGAGAGTGAAAAGGCAGAAGACAGAACAGCTTGGAGACATGAATGGGGTAGCTGGCTACAAGCCGTGGGCGGGCCGGGCGGAATCCGGGCTGGCCCCACCTCCCGGACAGCAGACTCCCGCCCACCCTCCTCTTTGCGGAGCACACAGCCCTGATGGCTCCCGACCCCAGCGGCCGCCTCAGCTTGCCGCTGCAGCTGCTGCTGCTCGCCTGCTGCTTCACCGCCTCCTGGGCTGATCTGCTGACCTGGCTGTGGTCGTCCAATCAGACGAATGAGAACGCAGCCTCGCTGGTCTCTGTGCCCCTGGGCAGCCCACCTGTACAGCCCACAGAAGGTATCACCACACGTGTGGGCCTGCAGGACAGCCCCACCGAGCAGGGGACAGCTTCTGCCAGCCCTGGGCCACCCCTGGAGGAGCTGGAAGATGGCCAGGGCAAGGCCTCCACTTCCCCTCCTGCCTCTAATGCGAGCCCAGACACGAAGGAGGAGAACATTGCTGGCGTTGGTGCCAAGATCCTGAACGTGGCCATGGGCATCCGGAGCTTCGTCCAGCTGTGGGATGATACCACCCCCACTGAGAATGCTTCCAAGATGGGGACTCTGGCACCTGCAACCTCCACAGACCCCCTCACCCTCCCTGGGCCATCCAGCACCCCTCCGGAGAATGGGACCATTCTCTGGCTGACCAGCGGGGCCCTGAACTCACCGGACACCAAGACTGAGGGTGGTAGCCTGCCAGTGCCCACCCAGCCACCACCCTCCCTGGACAGGCCCTGGGCGATGCTCAGCGTGCCTTCGGTGCCACCGAGGTCCTCAGGTAGAACTCTCTCCTCCGTGCTGGGCAGGGACCTTCCCTGGGGGAGCCTGCAGTCCTCAGGTTGGCCCCCGGACCTGGATGGCAAAGGACTCTTGCCCGAGGCAGCCCATCCCGGCCAGCGGCACCAACACCCCGGCAGCCTCAAGCGCACTCCACTTCTGCTTCCCCTGGTGACGGGTTCCCTGGGCACGCACGCTGCCCCCTCGGCTCTCTCCCCTGACCCTCCTGCCGGTCTGTCTCAGATCTCACTCTCAGCTTTACCTGGGGACAGTGGTGCTTGGGTTCCTCACGTGGCTAATTCTGTGGGACCTGGTCTTCCTAATGTCTTCGCACTGCTCGGGTCCCACCGACCGACCCCGGCAGTGCCGCCTCTGCGCCGTGCCTCCAGCCGCTGCCTGCCCCTGCCGCCCTCCCTGCCGGTCTGCGGCAGCCTGGGCATCAGGCGCTCCTGGCTGCCCAACCACCTCCACCACCTGAGCGGAGAGGAGGTGCTGGTGGCCGCTCAGGCCTGGGAGGGCCTCCTCCAGTCACACTGCCACCACTTCCTCGCCTGGTTCTTCTGCCTGCTGTTGGCCCCGCCCTGTGGCCCTGGCCCCCTGCCCGCCCTGCCACCCTGCCGCCAGTTCTGCGAGGTCCTGGAGGATGCGTGCTGGAGCCACTTGGACGGGGGCAGGCTGCCGGTCACCTGTGCCTCGCTCCCAGCCCAGGAAGACGGGTACTGTGTGTTCATTGGGCCGGCTGCAGGTAACGGCCGGCCCATCGATCCCACCGTTTCCTTGTTGCCCTTTCCAGGAGCCTGGCCAGGGCCGGTGTGAACCTTGCACAGCACCTGCCACCCACGGCCCCGGTGTTGGCCTTTATGGTCAGGTGCCCGTCGAACCCTCAGGAGGTAGGGGAAGTGCAATGCCTCCTTTGCACGGGGCAGACTGAAGTCTGCAGAGGCCTGCATCCAACCCGAGGTTCTGTGCATGACAAGGGCAGGTGTGTGGGGAGCAGCCCCGGCCCAAGCATTGTAGTTCATTTAGTTCTCTGAGATACCCCCAGCCACAGGGGAAACTGAGGCACAGAGTGGCGACAGGATATGCCGAGGGAGCCAGGATTCCCTCCTACTTCTGGTGTCTGACGTCCTCTCTGTAGCCCCAAGCTGATTGGGCAGAGGGGCTTTGGGGGTGGGTGCTACGGGGAGAGAGGACCTGTTTCTCTGAAGGCTGAGTGGCCGCAGCCAGGCCAGCAGTCAGTGAGCCTGTGGAGCTCACATGAGGCCACCCAGCCTGGGCCCGTGAGCTCCAGAGCACGGTCTCCCTGCTCCTCTGGTCCAGGAGGGGGAGGGCAGCTGCAGCCTCTAGGCCCCTAGCTCCCTGTGTGTGCACAGTGGGCCTGGCCCCCGCCCATCTGTGTCGGCTGTGCTGTGCATGGCCCCGCCCCTCCCCTCCCTGTGGGGAGCAGCCTTGACCGCTCATCCATCCCTGCAGTCACTGCTGGTGGGGGTGGGGTGGCTGCACTGGACCTCGAGGAGGCTGTTCCGTGGCTGAGCCCCTGAGGAATGTGTGGGTGACTTCCTGGCACTGCTGTGCCGGGCCTGGGGTGAAGCAAGGGGGGAGTTGGCGCACAGGCCGCAGCCGGGGCAGGAACAAGTGCTGATGACGGGTGGTGCCCAGCCCCGAGGAAGGGGTGCACCAGGGGCTGGTCCAAGGGAGGATGAGGGACGCTGACAGGGAGGCTGAGCCATGGCCTGAGCAGGAGTGGCCCAGAGGGTGTCCAGCAGAGGGACAGCCACACAGGGCCCGCTCTGGGAGGCCCGATACATGGTACGTGCAGAGCCGAAGGCCCTGTGGCTGCCCCTGTGAGCTGGTGGGGCTTGGGGTGGGGGTCGGGCCCCACAGTGAGCTGCGTGTTCCCACGCCCCACGCACACTTGGTGCCCGGACATCTGAAACCTGGGCCGGCAGGGGCCTCCTCCTTACCCTGCCCCACTTCAGTGTGAGTGGCTGGGGCTGCCCCACAGGGGGTGTCCTGCCAGGGGGCCCCAGTTCCATGTAAAGGAGCCTGGTGGCTCCCCACAGCCCACCTCCTCCTCCTCGAGGCTGGGGAGGGGCCTGAATTCAGCAGACCTGCTGCCCGGCCTTAGGGCCCCGGGTCTCCCGTTGCTGGGAGAGGGGACAGGGGCCGGGATGGGGTGTGGGATTTTTCCAACTGCAGCTGGCCTGGTCAGCTAGCTGAGTGGCCCAGAGGGGACTTCTCACTGGACATCTGCACCATTGGCAGGGCCCCGGGCCTGTGAGGGAGGCCGTGGCCCGAGCAGGGTCTGGAGACTGTCCTGTCAGTCCCTGTTCACTGCACTCGCAGCCCCACAGCTGGGCCTCAGGTGCCCATCTCTCCAGGGCCCCTCCTGGGTGCTGCCTGGCTGGGGAGGGTCCCACGGGTATTTTCTTCCTCCTTTGTTTATTTAATGTTTAGAGAGGGTGAGGGGGGAGAAAGAGAGAGAGAAGAAACATCGATGTGAGAGAGAAACATGGGTCGGTGTCTCCCACACACCCTTTACTGGGGACCTGGCCCACAACCCAGGCATGGGCCCTGACTGGGGATCGAACCAGCAACCTTTTGCTTTGCCAGAGGATGCCCAGTCGACTGAGCCACAGTGACCAGGACCTTCCTTAGGCTTTTTAGTAGGGAACCATCCACAACCTGGTGGGGAGGGAAAGGACCAGGAAGGCCCCAGCCCCTCTCTGGTACTGGAGAATGTTTCCCTCGGTGACGGGGACCCCTCCCCCCAGTTCATGTCCATGGGTCATACATGTAAGTTCTTTGGCTTCTCCATTTCCCATACTGTTCTTACCCTCCCCCTGTCTGTTTTGTACCTGCCATTTATGCTTCTTATTCCCTGTGCCTGTTCTCCCATCCTCCACCTCCCACCCGCTGATAACCCTCCATGTGATTGATCTCCATTTCTGTGATTCTAGTTGCTTGCTTAGTTTGTTTTTGTTTTAGGTTCAGTCATTGATAGTTGTGAGTTTTACTGTACATATTTTTGTTGTCATTTTACTGTACATATTTTTGATTATCTTTTTTCTTAGACAAGTTCCGTTAACATTTCCCATACAAGGGCCAAGTGCCAAACTTTTTACTGTCTTCCAGTTTTCTTTTCTAGAATGTCATCAAGTTGGAGTAATATATTATGTAGCTTTTTTAAACTGTTTTTTTCCATTTAATATCCATTAATGTTTCCTCTATGTTGTTTTATGGCTTCAGAGCTCATTTATTTTTATCATTGAATAATATTCCATTGTCTAAATGTTCTATGGTTTATTTACTCACTCACCTATGGAAAGACACCTTGGTTGCTCTCAAGTTTAGACAATTATGAACAAAGCTTCTGTAAACATCTGTGTGCAGGTTTTTGTGTGGAAATAAGCTTTCAAGTCCTTTGGGTAACTAGCAAAGAGTGCAGGATTGTAGGGTAAGAGTGTGCTTAGTTTTGTAAGGAGCCTGTGTGGCTGCGCCAAGTTGTACTTCCATCAGCAGGGACCGAGCGTTCCTGGGGCCCCATGTGCCTGCCCGCACTGGGTTGTCAGTGGTGCGGACTGTGGCCATCCCAGTAGGTGTGAGGTTTTATCTCACTGTTGTTTTAATTTGCATTTCCCTGTTGAGTGTGATGTGGAGCCTCTTTCCATGTGCTTGTTTGCCATATTTACACTTTCTTTGGGGAGGTGTCTGTTAGCATCTTTGGCCCATTTTTTAATTGAGTTGTTTTCTTATTGTTGGTTGAGTTTCGAGTATTCTTGTATATTTTGGATGTACCTTCTTTTATCAGATACATGTTTTAAAAACTTTCTTCCAGTTTGTGGCTTGTATTGCCATTCTCTTGATGTGCCTTTTGCAAAACTGAAGTTTCTAGTCTCAAAGAAATTAAATAAAGTCCAGCTTATCAATGATATTTTTTCTTGAATTGTGCCTTTGGTGTTATATCTAAAAAGTCATGGGTTTTTTATCCAAGGCCAGTAAGAGGTTTTTTCCATGTTATCTTCTAGGAGTTTTTATAGTTTTGCATTTTACATTTAGGCTTGTGATCCACTTTGGTTAACTTTTGTAACAGGTTTGAGTTCTGTGTCTGGATATAATTTTTTGCATGTTGATCGTCAGCCATTCTAGCATCGCTTGTTGCAAAGATCTTCACTCCATTGTATTGTCTCCGCTCCTTTGCCAAACATCAGTTAACCGCATGTACAGGGTTACATGTACATGTAACCTCCTCGGCTCCTGGGTTCTCTGTTCTGTTCCCCTAACCACTTTCTCGGTTCAAGAATTCCACTCTGTCTTGATTACTGCAGGTTTAGAGGAAGTCTTGAAGTCAGGGAGTGTCAGCCAGCCCCCCAACTTTGTCCTTTCCTTTCAATATTGCATTGGTTATTCTGGGTCTTTGCCTCTCCATGTTTGTGTTTACGCTAGAATCAGTTTGTTGATATTCACAGAGTAACTGGCTGGGGTTTTGACTGAGATGCCAGTGAACCCGTGGACTGACTTGGGAAGAACTGACATCTTGACAATGTTGAGTCTTCCTAACTGTGAGCATGGGTGTCTCAACATTTATTTAGTTCTTCTTTCATTTCTTTCATCAGAGTTATATAGTTTTCCTCATATAGGACCTTACATATTTTGTTTGATTCCTATCTAAGCATTTAATTTTGGTATTCTGTAAATATGTATACTGTTTTTGATTTTAAATCCCACTTGTTCACTGCTGGTGTGTGGAAAAGTGATTGACCTTTGTATATTACTCTTCTACCCTGAAACCTTGCTGCACCACTTACCAGCCCCAGGAGGTAGCTTTGCTGTTGTTGTTCATTGAATTTTCTACATAGACAATTATATTTTCTGCAAGCAGACACTTATTTCTTTCCTCCCAACCTCTGTAATTTCATGTCCTTTTCTAGTCTTATTTCATTAGCTAGGACTTTGAGCATGATGTTGGGAAGAACTGGAGCCAGGACACATTCTTGACTTGTAACTGGTCCTAGTGGGAAAGGTTCTAGTTTGTCACCATTATGTGCGACATTAGCCGTAGGGCTTTTGTAGATATTCTTCATCAAGTGGAGGAAACTCTACTTTCCCAGTTCACTGACAGTTTTTATTAGGAATGGGTATTAGATTTTGTCGAATGCTTTTTCTGCAATTTTGATATGATTTTGTGATTTTTCTTCATTAGCCTTGATGTGATGTATTATGGTAATTGATTTCAAATGTTGAACCATACCTGGGATAAACTTGGCTGTGGCTGGCCTGTTTGCTGAAAGGAAAACTGTCTTCAACAAGGCAAGTCCCCCAGTTTCTTGATCTGAGGGGAGTGTGAGGTAGGCCACCAGATGGGCCCCAGCTTGCTTGCTAAAGGTGTCGCCCACCACATTCCGGGACACTGCATTCTGGGAAGGCAATCCTCGGGGCTTTCAGAGAGCAGCGTGGAATGGACATTTCGTTTTCTGGAGAGATGTTGGGTTCCTGCCGGAGACAGCAGACTCCATGCCTTGGGCCACGCCTCCCACACAGCAGCTGCCAAAAGCTATGTAAGGAGGCGGCTACATCCTCCGTTCGTGCTCGCAGTGCCTGGGACTGGTCAGTGATCTTAGGTCCTTGGCATTCGAGTCTTGTTCCCGATGGGAACCTGAGGAATTTCACGGAGAGGAAATGGAAGAACTTCAGGAAGGAACTGCTCACGCATCTCTGGGGTCCCTGGGGCTGCCTGTGTAACATGCTGCTGTATTCCAGCCCAGAAAGCCGACAGCTGCTGCATCTCGCTCTTAATTCATTTGGAAATGTCCTAGCTCTGTGTGAGGCAGGGTGGTGGTGGAGCACACCCGTGCTGAACTCTGGGAACGGCTGAGTCAGGACTCCAAGACCTCTGGAACCCAAGCTGGTCACAGTCCTGTTTCCCAATCTTAAACATCTTCCTAAGTGGATACTCAGGCCCTGGGTACTTCTGAAACAAAGGGGCTGTCATAGCAATTGCCGCCCTGGTGGACAGCGGTCTGTCCTTGAGTGTGAAGAGACTGCTGCGGGGCCTTCCTCTGAGGTCCCCTACTCTCTTTGGGGGCCCTTTGCCCGCAGGAGGCACGGAGGCCAGGCCACCGAGGCTGCTGGCTATCTCGCACCTGGCTGTCCCTCACTCTGTCTGCATGGGGGGGTCTTACCTGCCAGGGATGTGGGTGAGGCCAGAGGGAGCCCCGGTTGGCTGGCAGTGCTGCCAACGTGGCGGGCAGTCAGGACTATGCAGAGCCGTGCCACTGACCCTGGGGAACCAGCCCCGGCAGGCACCCCAGTGCCTGTCTCATTGTGATGGCTCTTGCTCCTGTCTTCATCTGCATTCTCAGGGACTCTTGAAAGCCAACTTATCTTAGAAAGTTGGGGGTTCAGCATTTCTTCCTTCTGCCTGCTCCAGGGAGCCCCAGGCCAGCCTGGCCCTGCTGATGGGCTGGAATACCAGGTGCCCCTCACACAGAAACACACACACACACTCATACTGTTGCACTCCCACTCTCCCACGCACTGGCTCACTACAGCCTTCCTCAGGACACCCACGCATCACAGCCCCCTCCCAGAAGCACATCTGCCCTGTATGACTCCCACTTTGGAGGTAGACCCCACCCAGACTGTAGGTGGGATGGACTTGAGAGGAAAGGCCTCGGGGTCAGGGCCCTGGAAAACTTCTCCCCAGAGTCAAGGCTCTTCCTGGCAAAGTGCATCTACGGGGAAGGTACAGATGCACCAGTCTCTCCTCGAGTTGGTGTCTGCCCCTCTCCTGTGTCCAGCAGTGACCACACTTGCTGCGTGGGGAGGTAGCCCTGCTCTCCCTCCCACCCCCAGCGCTCAGCACTGCTGGCCCCTAGGGTATTGGTCCCAGCTACTAGTGGCCCCACACTCCCAGGAAGCAGCCTCCTCCACACTGCACCCAATGGCTCGGGCAGGTCCAGGTGCACGGTCAGGTCAGGCCCTGCTCAGACCCAGGGTCAGCGTTGTGGACAGCAGGGCCTCTGGCCCCTTCTAGACAGACAAGAAATGAGGGGAGAGAACCTAGCACTGTGGCTGCGTCCCCAACCTGGGTTTGTGCTGCTGAGGGGCTTCCAAATGGCAGGCTGTCATTTAGAACTCAAGCTCTGTGACACTGATGGCCCGAGGTGGAGGACACACATGGGCTGTTCTGATCGTGGGCTCCTGAGGAGAGTGAATATAAAAGGGCTGGATGAGCCTCTTCTGGGTGGTCCAGAGGCAGGTGAGGCCAGTGGGGCCGCAGCAGTGTGAACACTGGTGGGTTGAGAGAGTGGACCTCTCACTGGTGGTCACCCCTATCACGAGGCTGCTCTCCAGGTCACCCAGTGTGGACATGGGGTAAGGGGAGGAAAATCCCCACTCCCTGAAAGCCCCGTGCAACAGCCTCAACCAGGCCATCACACCTCGTAAACCCCGACCAACCTGGGGGCTGGCGTGACTTGCTGTCTTGAGTGCGATGGAGACAGTGAACCACAGGACCTGATCAAGCTAAGCCGGGGCCTCTGGGAGACTCAGCCCCCCCTCGTGTCCATTCTTCCTAAGGGTTTGTCTCCAGGATGGTTCCTGATGAGGATAAAGCTGCAGGCTACACCCCATCGTGCAGCTTTCTTCTCCCTGTTTGTGAGGGAATGAGTGATGTCATTGCCTGTGCCCCTCATTGTCCCTGCGGATCCCAGCGTGGGGTGGGGATGATGAGTGGGGGTGCAGTCTGAGCTTGGGGGTGGGGATGGGGGAGAAGACAGGGTGCAGAGCAGAGTTACGGGTGGGCTCAGAACCCCCCGCCCTTTGCATTAGGCTCCTTGGCGACCCCTCATACATACTACCCCCCACCCACCCCTCACCTCGCTGTGACCTCGCTTCTCTCCTGCCACGCTGGTTTGGGATGCTCCCTTCTGTGCCCCGTCTCCCTTGTGCCTGTAAGCTCGTTGAGAGGATGGTGCAGTGGCTTATGGCCACTATGTCCTGACCTGACATGCATCTGTTCCTCTTGTTATTGATGCACTCACTGGTTGAGTCCTGTCTGTGCCCTGGCTGGGGATCGAACTTGCAGCCTTGGTGTATCAGGGCAGTGCTCTAACCAACTGAGCTACCCAGCCAGGGGTGACACACATCTGGATAAGACAGAGTGTCCGTCCACATCCCTGGCCAGCAGGGCCAAGAGGGGTAGGGCAGGTGCCAGGTGCATGACTCAATTTCCCCTTTGTGCTCTACCTGCAGCCTCATGAGGTATCTTTCTCCTCTTCACAGAGAAAGTGGGCGCAGAGGTGGGGCTCCTCCAGCTGCTCGGGGAGCCACTGCCCCCAGAGATCACCCAGACTGATGACCCTGATGTGGGACCAGCCTACATCTTTGGCTCTGATGCCAACAGCGGTCAGGTGGCCCAGTACCACTTCCCCAGCCCGTTCTTCCGTGACTTCTCGCTACTCTTCCACGTGCGGCCAGCCACTGAGGATGCAGGGGTACTCTTCGCCATCACGGATACAGCCCAGGCAGTGATCTCAGTGGGCGTGAAGCTGTCGGGCGTGAGCGACGGCCACCAGCATATCCAGCTCCTGTACACCGAGCCTGGGGCGGCCCAGACGCACACGGCTGCGAGCTTTCGCCTACCTGCCTTTGCCGGCCAGTGGACACGCTTTGCACTCAGTGTGGAAGGTGACACTGTGACACTCTTTGTGGACTGTGAGGAGGTCCAGTCGGTGCCTTTGGTGCGATCTCCACGAGGCCTGGAGCTGGAGCCCGGCTCCGGCCTCTTTGTGGCTCAGGGTGGAGACGCGGACCCCGACAAGTTCCAGGTAACACCATGGCTGCTGCTTAAGGGTTGGACCACCTTTGGGGTCCCACTTGGACAAGGGGCAGTGTCCATCAGTCCCCCCTGACTTCAGGCCCCAGCATTCTTTGGTCTGCTCAGGCCCAGCATGTCTTTTATTCCCTGGTACCCTGGCCCCTTGGCCACCACCAACAAGGGTCTCCCCGGGCTGCAGTGGTTTCTCCGAGGCCTCCTTGGGACCTCCTTTCTGACTGGGTGCTAGCCCCTGCCACCATCTGTGTGCAGTGCAAGCAATGGGCCTCTGATGCATAATTAAGAATTTCTTGATGGCAACAGTGGAGTGTAGAAGTGGGCAGGGGCCTCTGGGAGGGAGGCTGCAAACCCCCCGGGCTGGGCCAGGCTCCACATCCAGTGTCACCATCACTCACACGCTGTTACTACTGTTTTACCAAACTGCTAGCTGCCCACTCAGAGCAGTGCGGGCAGGACATCCCCAGCAGTCCCGGACAGATGGCTGTCTCCGCTGTGTCCCCCCCAGGGGAGCCTCCTCCCCCCTGAGCCTGCCCCTGGCCTTCACTGCAAGGGAGGCAGACTCCAGAGCCTGCGCCCTCAGCCCCTATACTTGGAACCTTTAGGTGGAACCCTGCCTCCTGGAAACGCCGAGTGGGCACCCTCCGCGGGCCCCAGTTCGATTCTAACATTACAGCCGGTCTGCAGCTGGCATGCCCCAGACAGGGGTCCCTGTGTGTGCTGATGCGGGATGTGTCTTCAGGGGACAGAAAGTTAATTATTGCCCAGACAAAAACTGCTGGATTAAAGTTGTTCTAAGTCCCGGAGACTCGGGTTCTGAACGCTGCCCTTTCACCTTTGGCAGAAACTTTCACCCGTAGGGTCTGGGAGCCAGCAGGACTTTGATAGCACACTGGGCCTCTTTGTGTTTTCATTTTGATCCTCAAACATGATTAACTGGAAGGAGTCACGGAGGGCCCTCGCATAGGGGGAGGGGCTGTGTTTACTGGCAGTTTGTCCTGTGACCTCCCTGGCATTTCTAGCTGGAAAAGTATGCCATTGTTCCATACGTCTTCAACAGTGTAACGGAAAAGCTGCCCCAGATGGAGACCCAGGGGCTGTGCAGGGGACCCGGGGGCTGCGGGAGGCCATCACCCTGCAGTGAGGGCACCGGAGGCTCCACCCCCAGGCCTCTCCAGGCCAAGTGTGTTGTCGCAAAACAAAACTACCAGTCGGATGCCTAGGCACACGGGGGCTGAGTGTTTTAATTGGCATGTCATGGTAGCTGGTGAAGACAGACTTTGTGTTTTTTATAGGCTGTTTCTATTTCTTCTTTTGTGACAGGGTCTACGTTCTTCCCATTTCGGTTTTGGTGGGTTCAAACATTTCCTTTAGTTTTCACAAACCCTTTACCTGTGAAAGAAAGTGATCCTTTGTTTTGTGTGCTGCAAATTTTATCTCCAGGTGTGTCACTTGCCTTTCTACCTTGCATTTAAAAAAAAAAAACATTGGGGTATTTAGAGTGTTTATGCAGGTAAATTTAGCCTGGAGAAGACACCCAGGGCGTTGGCCATCCCAGCGCAGTCCGGAGGGGTAGGGAGACAGCAGCAGGCAGCTCAAGGCTGCCGTTTGGCCTGGGCTGTGGGCCCTGCTTCCCTCCAACCCCACTGTCCCACGCAGCGCAGTCGGCGCCTCCTCCCCGTGGACGAGAAGTTTAAGGGGTTTTCTGTGTGGGTGGCTGTCTGGTCAGATTCCAGCTAGGTGAGAGGGGCGGCCTGTTGTCTGGTTTAGTGCGAGGTTTTTCAGACTTTCTGAGTTGAGATTCTTGAGAAAGACTCGCTCAGGTCACGTTGTTTATACGATCTGGCAGAAACCAAAGCTCGGGGTGTGGGGAGGAAACTGGGCGCGGCCCCCAGACGGGCCCCCGAGGGTCCTTACAGAGAGAGCGCTTATTGTTTCCTCCTGTGGAAACTTCTGGAACTTCATTGGTCTTTTCCGGTTTATTCTTCTTGTCAGATTGGTCATAAATATCCGTGGGAAATCATTTATTCCAATGATAGATGTTACAGTGTTTTGATTACTAACATTTACTGCTGACTCTTGTTCAGCGTTTATTGTACCTCTCCTTATTTATTATTTCAAGTGCTCTGTGGTCACGCTGTCTAGATGTCCTTTCTCCTTGTGGAAAGTGTCCCCATTTCCTCATTCCCTGTTTGCTTCTCTGTTTGCGAAGCCGCCCTCCTCTCAGCCCAGGGTTTCTGCTCGTGGTTCTCTCTCAGCCCCAGTGTCTGTGCAGCAGACCAGCCGCCCACGAGTCCCTTGGACCCTGGTCCGTAGCCCACGGGCAGGCAGGGCCAACCGGGCCTGTCCCGTTCCTGGCACTTCCCACACTCCCTCCTTGTGTTCAGTGGGGAATGCGGACGTTGTCACCGCTCCTCACACGTGGCGTTGGTGGCTGCATTACATAAATAAGCATTTGGCCCACTGAAGTCAAGAGCTTGCACACCGGCCCTCTAGGCTGGGGTCACTGGGACAGGCTTGATGCTGAGGACAGGGCAGAGCAGGCAGGGAAGATGCAAGCATTCTCAAGCCCCACAGTCCGCCTCTGACCACGGCCCCCCAGCCTGGTGGCACCAGATCCGCTGCTCCTGACTGAGGGGCCCTGGGGCCTCTGAGGTCACGCTGACCCTGCCCCACCCGACACCCCTCTTCACCACAGTCACTTGGAGCCCTGCCACTCACGGTGACTGATATGTACAGATATAACCTGGACACAGTGCTGCAGCTGCCGGGTGCTGTCCTGACCCCACGGGATGGAGGAGAGGAAGGTGTTTGTAGTGGAGGAACTTGCCCGGCGTGACCCCTCGGGAAGAAACCTGGAGGCAGCCAGATGCTCTCACACAGTCAGTCAGGGAGTCTGGTGGGATACCAATGAGATGGTCTGAAGTACAAGAAAATGGACAGCGGGGCGGGGCCCATCACAGCCAGGGCTGGGGTAGGTGACAAGGGACCAGGGCAACTTAGGGAGGAGGGGCCAGGAGGTGGGGGTGAGGCAGGGCTGGAAGTGCTGTGTCCCCAGCATACAGGCTTATCCGCCCGCTGCCCAGCTAGGACATGCCCTTCCAGGCAGGGGTGGGGTCCGAGGCCCGCCGTAGAGCACCCTGGGGTCCCAGGGAGGCAGCCCCAACATCAGTGACTTCAGTGACACGCTTTCCCAGTGTAGAGTCCCGACCACTACACACAACTTCAAGACCTGCAGCCTGTGGCGTGGCAGTGGCAGGATGTATTTTATGTGGGTTTTATTAATGAAATGCCTGGATTTCATAACGTTTGGTTCCGTGGCTTTTGCACTAGTGATGTCTGTCTAACCCCAAGTAACTGTGTCCTTGGGAAAGCGCCAGCCCGAGGCAGGCGGCCAGCGTCTGAGCTCTTCTGCCCTCTCTCTTCGGGCCTGCGGCGGGCCTGGAAGCCCAGGATGGTCGAGGAGGGAACCAGCACCCTGACGCCTGCCTGCCGGAAGCTCTGCCGCCCAACCTCCATGCACAGAGTGCCACCAAGGGGCATTCCAGTCTTTTAACATCTGGCCCCTCCTGCTGTCCCTGGGAGCTCTCAATCTTGGTGACTCACTGTCACCAAGGTCCTCCCTAAACCCTCCTTCGGCAGGGCTGGTGGGCCAAGAATTTGCATTTTGAACATGAGACTACTGCTGACCCCTGCATTTTTAAGTCCAGAATGGCCCGTGCTTACTCTGGGTGATGGTGCCCCTGCAGCCTGGATGGTGAGGATACCAGTGTGTGTGCCTCCCCTACACCTGTGCCCACACATACACAGGGAGATGGGACACTGCCCCACAGGCCTCACCGTCAGCAGTGGGTGGGGGTGTGGGGGGAACATGGAGTCAGGTAGAACTGGCCCCCGGAGAGGCTAACCCTTCTGAGGAGGGAGTCTAGGGGTGCTTCCTGGAGGAGGAGGCCTGAGCCGAGCCTCGAAAGATGAGTGGAGCCCTAGGCAAGGGCTCAGCTGGGTGTTTGCTGATTTGTGGTCACATGCTCCTTGTTGGTACGGGACAAGAAGGTCATGAGATCAAGGGTCAGCTGATAGGGAGAATCCAAAGGGCATTTGGAGGAACAAACAGAATAGCCTAGGTGACAGTCAGCATGTGGCCCTGGGACACATCCCACCTGCCACCCGTTTTTGTTCGGCCCAGACACTAGAAAGGCTTCCCATGCTTAAATGGTTGGAAAAAAAAGGAAGAGTGTTTTGTGACATGTGAAAATCTCGCAAAATAAAAATGCCAGTGTCCCTAAAGTGTGGTTAGACAGCCACGCCCCATCTCTTCCGTGTAGTCCGGTCAATGTCCTGGTACAACACAGCCCTCGTTCCAAAGGCCTGGGCAAGCGGACCAGTCGGCCCTTTTCCGGGAACGTTCGCCGACCTCTGCCCTGCGCCTTTCTATTGGGAGGTAGAGAAAATGTGTGCTTCGGAATTGACGAAACATGGTCTTTATTGAGGGAACAAACACACTGAAGTAAATCCCAGCGGATTAAGATGTTAAGTAGAAAACAGAAAACACTAGAGAAAGCACTGGGAATGCTCGTAATCTGGTGGGGAACCTTTTAGAAAGTGGCATCAAAGACAGAAGTCACAGTGCACAGCAGAGCCTGCTTGTTCTGTGTCCTGCAGGCATCACGTGTCCCAGGCACAGGGTCCTTCTGGGTCTGTGGGGCCCTGTTGGCACTGGGAGGCGGATCCACAGGTTCACACACTTGGCTCTGAGCATTTGGCACCCACCCCCGCACCTTTACCCTTTGGAGGATCATGGGGCCTTGTAGAGAAGACCCCATTGCAGCCACGGTTGAGGTCCTTGTAAGCATGTACTGTCCCCAAGCTGGCAGCCGTGCCCCACACCCTGCCTCAGGCTTAGGGCCTCCTGTTGAAGTGGGGGTCCTGTCCCCTCCATATGGTGGACCCTCTGCACTCACAGCTCAGGACGTTGCCCCACTTGCAGTGCCATCTGACTTGTGTCCCATGGGGATACCACTTTTCAGTGACGTCTTTGTCTTACAGTCCTGTCCCCTCTTTTAGACAGCAAGATCTGAGGTGGCAGGCCCCTGTTCAGTGCCGTGCCCTGGTGCCCAGTTCAGGACTGAGAGTGTGTGTGCAAACATGTGTGGAGAGGGTGGGTGAGTGGTGAGTGAATGAATGGATGAAACTGACTCTGGGCTGAGTACCCATGTGCACGGAGAACCAGGAGCTCACTCCAGGCACTGTGGTCTGCTCCGCTTCTCGCTTGCTTTATGGAAAGATGACATCGCAAAGGGAATAAGACCTAAATCCCACCTGGTCAATTCAGTGCCGTTTCCTGCCACGTCTGAGGTTGCACCGGCAGAAGCCCTTGCCTGGCCCAGGGCAGGGGCCCCTCTCATCTTGGTTTGTGTCACCCACTGAAATCTTGACCTCGGACAGTGCCAGGACCTGTGAGTCAGGGTCTCTCTGTGGCCTGCTGCCTGCCTCAGAACCGCCGGTGACGTTTCTCTCCCGCTGCACTTAGGGGATGATCGCGGAGCTGAGGGTGCGCAGGGACCCCCAAGTGAGCCCCATGCACTGCCTGGAGGACGATGACGATGATGACGACGGGGTGAGTCTCCCTCCCCCACCCCATCCCCATGCTGTGGGAGGACAGTCCAAGTCAGTGGGGGCTGGCCTCCCCCCGAAAACCCCAGAGTGACGAGACTAGGAAGATGCCATTTTGGGGACCAGGAACCCGGGAACGTTTTCGGTTACCCTGTAGCATAAAAAAGAGCCTTCCTTTCCCTGGAACTCTCCATTCAAAACACACATAAAATGTAAAGTGAATGCTGGGTGGAAACTGTCCTCAGGGCAGCCAGTGGGTGACACAGTCGATCATAGTCAGAGGGGCAAAAATGTGTGTGTGTTTGTAAGTGTGAGTGAGTGTGTGCGCACATGCTCACAGGGGACTGGAAGAGACAGATCCACCTGTACTTGGGTGTGGACAGACATGTGTTGGGGGCGGTGGCTAGTGCTCCAGATGACAAACCTGCCCCCAGTGGCCACAGTTGTGAATAGAGTGAGGTCACCTGGTCCTGTCCCCTCAGCTGCCTTCCATTCTGCTCCATGTCCACCATGTGGCCAGTGTGCTGATTAGACTGGCCGTTGCCCAGGACAGTGGCCCAGGGGCAGGGTGACAGGTGGAAAGAAAAGAACGTGTTTCTTTGTGGTTCTCTGTATGTCTGGCTAGGAGCCAAACTGATTTCCGATGGGTCGTTCTGATTGGCCTGACCGGATGTGGCTCATTGGCGACCAGCGGCCAGTGCTCACAGCACAGCTGCTTCCCTCTTGGAGGCCACAGGAAACGTTCCCCTTCTTTCTGCCTTCTCCCTCCTGCCCCGGCCTGGGACGGGCGTGGGGCAGGTGGGACTCTCCAGGCCCTGCTGGTGCCGGGGCTTCCGTCACCAGCTTCTCCCTCGTTTCCTGTGAACCCTTCAGGCGTCAGGAGACTTCGGAAGTGGGCAGGAGGAGACCCGGGAGCTTCTCCGGAAGGAAGCGGTGAGTAGTAACAGGGTCTCTGCCCAGGGCCCCGTTCATCCCGGCCTAGGCTATTCTCCCTCTTGTCTCTCAGGGATACTTAAAATTGTTTCTCTCATTCTTCACGTTCCTTTGGTCCCTGAGGTGACCTTGACATTCTGATTGTCCTCCCATTAGCTGGCAGGGCCCTAAGGGACTAGATGAGACGGTCTCGGGGTCAGAGAGGGCTGAGGGCTGAGCAGGGCAGCCCAAGGCCAACTCGGTGATTTCCCCGCTCACACCGCCTGAGACAACACGCAGGCGGGAATGTGTCTCTGGGATGTGAGTGACGTGCTCTGGGCCCCTCCTCTCCACCCTCTGCCTCATGGTGTCTTCACCCAGGGAGTGACAGGCTGAGCGCTGAGCTGCCCTGGGAGGGACAGTAGGCACCCACCCCCAGGTGGGTCGGTCATGGGGACCCCTGGTCTTGCCAGGGTGGAGGAGGGGCAGGTGGCTCTTAGGGAAGCAAGGCCAGGGGCTCGCCCACCTGCTTGCAGGCCGAAGTACCTGGTGGGCTCTTGGACATGGGTCAGCGTGTGGTTGCCCAAAACAGTCCCCCAAGTGTCGGACGGCTTATGTGTTCCTCGCCCTCTGAGCTTCCTCCTCACAGGCGTGGGCCAGACTCGATGTACACTTTCACCCACCAGGCTGCTGTGGGACACACGCCAGCCACTGGGGACGCAGGGACCCCACAACCCCGTGGTGTTTGAGCTGCACCGGAATCAAGGCATGAAATGCCACAGCTTGGCGCCTCCCTTCACAGCCTGGAGGGTCAAAGACCGAAAAAAAAAAGGGTCCCTATTTAGACAGTCTCACCCTGAGCCCATAGCCGGGCCCTGGCCTGGGTCCCAGGTGATCAGGAAGGCACTAGCAGGACACTGGCAGTGAGCTTGGCTTCTGAGTATCAGAGGAACTGGGTGGAAGCCCCTAGGGCTGGATGAGACTGGTCCAGGTAGGGTCCCCAGCTACAGGGGAAGGCCTGGTGTCCAGCTCTGGCTGCCGCTCACCCCCCTGGCTGTGGGAGAAGCCCCCAGGCAAGACTCACAGGATGACTGTTGCCCCCCCACACAATGTCCCCAGGGAGTGTTTGCCAAATATGGCATGGGCAGATGCAGGAAGTGTTTCACCTGCGTATTTGAACATCTGCTTGCACCCAAGTCCTCAGCTTCATGGCGCCTCTGGGAACAGGGAAGACTGGTTTTCAGAGAAGAGCAGCCTCATCCCCTCTGGGCGGGGGGTGGGTGGCTGTCACCCAGCCATGGAGTGCCTGGTCAGGGCCCTCGTTGCCACACCCGGTGTGTGCAGGGAACCATCAGAGCTCCCTCCGTCTGAGGCGTCTGTGACAGCACTGACCACTTGTCCTCTGTGGGACAACAGGAAGGAGCCAGGGCTCTGGATTGTCGCCGAGGCGCCGCCCTGGGCCCTGAGCCCAGGCAGTGGGCTCTGGTCCCTCCCTCACATGCGGGAAGTTGGTGGGCATGGGGGTTCCAATGATTCGTTGGGCTCCCCAGGTGGGGCAGCCACTCGAGGGCCCCCCACCCCATGGGCTGTTCAGAAGGAAATAGCTGTGGGGGGCCCCGAACTTCCTCCTGCTTGAGATGAAGTCCTGATGGCTTCTTACCTCATCTTTCTCAAAGTCTAGAAAGATCTTGTTTTATAAACCAAATAATCTGAACCCGCCGTTTGCCAGCATGAGCGTTCACAGGGTGCCTGAGTTTGCTGGATAACAGGCCTGCTTTCCCACCCGCCCTTGCCAGGGCACGTCCCTAAAACCCAGCTTCCCTGAGGCTCCCCCGGTCACTTCTCCTCCCTTGGCTGGAGGCAACATCTCAGAAGATTCCAGAACAGAAGAAATCGAGGAGCAATCCACTGTGTCTGTATTAGGAGGTAAGGCTCTTGCGGGGGTGTGTGTGTGTGTGTTGGTGCTGTGCACAGGCATGCGTGTGTGTGGCCGGGTGCGGGACTCCTGTCCTTCACAAGCACTAGCCCCACCACAGGGCGTGGTCAGTCAGCCTGCGCCACCCCCTCGAAACCTCGTCACATTTGGGATCATCTGTGGGAAGAAGCTGCCCCAGAAGTCAGGGCAGAGCAGCTGCTGGGCCATCTACTTCTCTTTCCCAGGGTTGGTTCTTGTTTTCTTATTTCTGGGGACGTCTGTGGGACCATCTCATGTGTGCTGCCACCACTCAACTGAGGGCCAGTGGCCCCCTAGGAGGACATGAGAGTTGATGGTGAAGGCAGAGACGTCGCTGCCTGGAACATTTGTGAAATGGGCCTGCCCCGTGGTCAGCAGTTGGGGTTGGGGACTTCTCCTGGCGGCCTCAGAGTGGCTCTGCCCTGGAGAGGGCCCAGGCGCAGACCTGACACAGGCAGGGCCAGGGCGCCCGGGATGCGCAAGAAACGAAGTGCGCCTTAGTCCGCTGCTGCATCAGGACCCACTGCCACAAATTTAGCTGCTTACAGCCGCACTGTGTCTACCTTTCGGCTCTGCAGGTAGGAGTCCTACTTGGATCCGAGAGCTGAGGGCAGGGCGTGCAGGGCTGCTTCCCTGCTGGAGGCTCAGCAAGGGGTTGGTTCACTGTGACCGTGGGCCTGAGGGTCCAGGCTCCTTAGTGCTGTGGGCCAGGGACCGCTCTTAGGTTCTTGAGGTCACTCCCATTTCTCAGCTTTTCCTTCTTGGGACTCCCTTCCTGCCTCCCTCTAGTGTTTTGGGGCCTCAGGTGATGATGGGGTTGTGCCCTGAATCCCCAGAATAATCTCCCTCTGTTAACGTCAGCGAGTCGGTAACCTGTCCGTTACACCTGCCGAGCCTCTTCCAGGCGGTGCCTGGGTTAGTGTTCAGCTGAGTAGCCAGGGGGCAGGGTTCTCTAGGGGACGTCTGTGGGCTTAGTTCTCTCTTCACCAGTATGTCAAGGTTGTAGAAAATTATGTAGACATCTTTTATTTGGAAAAAAAATTGATTGCTTTTTAAATGACTGAAATAGTAATATGTGTTCAATGCAGCCAAGTTAGAAACAGAAAAGAAAAAAAGAGTGAGAACTGGCTGTTGGCTCTCCAGGGTCCTGCTGTCCACGTTCTCCCCTCAGTGGGGTAAGGACATGGTGCCTGTGGCTTTTGTCGGGGACGTGCTTCCCAAGGGCACAGCTGGGGTGGACGGGGTGATGTGTCCAGCCCGTCAGAGTTCGGAGCGAGGGGCACATGCCCACCTGGACCACAAGGCGGCCCAGCCCCCGCCTCGCAGTGCCGTGGGGCCAGGTGTAAAGTGTGGGTCTCAGTTCTGTCGTTCCTGTCTGTATGTCCAGTCTCTCCAGCTCCAGTTATCAAAAAGCCTGCCCTTGCTCCCACTGAGTTGCCTTGGAGTCTTTGTTGAGGACCATTGTCCATCTGTGTGGGTCCCTCCCCGCCTCTGCTCGGGTCCGTAGGTCTGTCTGTCGTAATGGGACACACGGCCCATTGTTTCTGCAGCCCTTGTGCTGAGGCCGATCAGGTCTGAGCGTCCTCCGGATCTGCCCATCACTGACCGAACTGCCTCGCTGTTCTCTGTCCTTTGCATTTTCCTAGGAACTTCAGAATTAGTTTGTCATGTCCTATAAGAACAGCCCGCTGGGGTTTTGGTAATGACATTGAATCTATAAATCACTATCGAGGGAGGGGCTTGGACATCTCAAGAATACTGAGTCTCAAGAATACTGAGCACAAGCTGTCTCCCTGTACTGAGCGCTTCACTTTCTGTTCTTCTAGTGATGGCTTTTCTGTTGTCGAGGTTTGCAGAGGCAGGGGTTTTACATTTTCCTTAAGTCACGCTCACGCTTCGAATACACCCTTGGAGGTTTCCACCGCATACCATTAGGGGAAGAGGCTGGGCTGCCCTCAGTGGGTCCTGGGGGTGGGCAGCGGGGTCGGGGCTGCTTGGGCGTCATCTACAGGGCCCCTGCAAGAGGTGGGCCTCTGCGCAGAGCAGAGGGTGGGGGGTGGTTGGCCCCACTGTGCAGGGTTCACAGGTGCCCACACATGGACGCAGCTTCGCTTTCTGCCAGCAACAGGACAGGCATCCCCCAGAGCTGTGCACACGGGTGATGCTGGGCAGTGCGAGCTCACTCGGAAGTCACCCAATCCAGGGTGGGCTGAAGGGCCTCAGCTCCCATCCAGTCCCCAAGCTCTGCTGCTGTGGTGTCCCCAGAGTGCCAATCAAACCCCAGCCAGGGTCAGACATGCCCCTGAACTTCCCTCAGAAGACAGGACCTCTGCAAGCCACGGTGCACACACGACACGCTGAGATGGTGTGAGTCCTGTGTCATCTGACTGCCTCAGTGATGCTGGGGCGACTGGGTGAAAAGTGTTGGGGAACAGCCTCGAAATTCACCCACAGGTTGTGTGTCAAGCAGAGGGGGGGAGGTACCACCCTGCACCCAGGGAGGAAACTGACAAGTGGGAGAAGCAAAGAGCAGGGGCGATGGGGGCGGGGCCACATACAGGCACTGCCGAGGCCCGGGCCCTGCCCTTCTCTGCATGGTGGTGTTTGCACAGTTCTGGGGACACGCACAGCTCAGGCAGGGGACTGATGTGGCCAGAGTTGGCCCCTGGGCGGGATCATTGATGGCGCCCCTGTTCCCCCGCTGTCACCATTCCCCAAAAAGAAGCCGCACAGGACACGGCTGGGCAGCACGGAAACCTGAATCGGGCTGCGTGTCAGGTCACTGTAGGTGACAGCGCTGGGTTTGCCAGCGTGACCATCGGGTTGTCAGAAAATGTACTCATTCTTGGGAGATGTGGCATTTGGGGGGGAGGTTCATGATAATGCAGGGGGCCCTCAAGTGACTCAGCGAAAGAAGTAGAGTGTGTGTGTGTATGTGAGTGTGAGAGAGAGAGCTGGGGTGTGGCCGAGGGGGTGGGCAGCCCTGGAGGGGAGCATGAGCCGAGAGCAGAGACTGGGTCAGACTGGGTGTGACCTCTGTCCCTTACCTCCACTCTGCAGCTCACACCCTTCCTGGCTCGAATACAGTCACCACCTTGGACAGGAGTGTCCAGAGCCCTGAGGACATCCTGCAAGAGGTGAGGCCCTCTCCCTGACCCAGAACCACGGAGGCTCCAGGGCAATCAGCGCCTCTGGTTCGCTCACTGGTGACCTGACCAAGCCCTGGGCCCACCCCCTTCCTCTGGGTCCCTGTGCCTGGTACGAGGTGGGCCTGGCTGGTAGACTGGCCTGAGTGTGAGGAGCATGTGGGCAGGGATAGGTGGACAACTGGACAGACCTCCGTTCATGTCAGCGTCAGCCTGAACCCTGTGTGTATCCACTTGTGTCCCCTACGTGTGTCCACTCATGTCCCCTACGTGTGTCCATCCTGTGTGACACGGAGCCCAGCCCAGAATGCAGGAGAGTGCTGGTGGGTGGGCAGGTAAGGATATGCGTGGCCCACCAACCTGTGCCCTTCCTTCTTCCCAGGGTCTCCCAGGCCCAGTGGTGCAGAGCCCTGATGCACGGGCTATCCCTGGGCCACAGGGACCCCCTGGACTCCCGGGGCTACCAGGGAAGGATGGTGCCCCCGGAAGGGATGGGAAGCCCGTGAGTACATGTTTCCCCTTGGTCCAGCTGGGATGGGGTTCGGGCAGGAGGGGGAAAGGAAAGGGTGCTGCTGATGTGGCAGAGCAGCTGCACAGTGGGACCCCAGAGACCCCAGGGGGGTCTGCACTGTGTTGGCTGCTCCCTTCCCTGTGGGAGAGCCGGAGGGTGCTGGGGAGGCTGTGGGCAGGCAGCCCAGGCCAGCCCACCATGGACGAAGGCGGTCAGACATCGGGTGGAAGGTTCACCTCCACTGGGACAGCCTTCCTGCGGGAGTCAGGCGTGTGGAGGGCGTGGAGCCCGGGGCCCGTTCCATGCCGGACGGGATGGGGCCAGGAGCCGGGAGTCCACCGCTAACCATTCCTCTTGCATGTTCCAGGGCGGCCCTGGGGAAGACGGAAAACCTGTAAGTTTGCTCGTCTCTCAGAGCCTAATATCGCATTTGACATTTGTGTGAGACCCTTGGGGCTTTTTATCCTGTGACCCTGTTTAAGCTTAACATTTCGAAGAGATTTTAAAATGAGGCCATTTCGGGAACGCAACTTAACTTTGTTAGGAAAATACAAGTCTGACCGTTGGTAGAAAAATAAAGTTATGCATATGTATTGAGACATTCAGGCTAACTACCAAGGGAAGAAGGGCGGGGAAAGGTATATCTTCCAAATTCTTTACTTATTTTTAGTATTTTACTTATTTATTTATTTATTTTAGATTGAAGGGAAGGGAGAGAAAAAGAGAGGGAAAGAAACATCAACGTGTGGTTGCCTCTTGCACACCCCCTGCTGGGGACCTGGCCTGGCCCTCTACCCAGGCATGTGCCCTGACTGACTGGGAATCGAACTGGCAACTTTGGTTCTCAGGCCGGTGCTCAATCCACATCAGACAGGGCTAGCTTCCAAATTCTAGAAGAAGAACAATGCATAACGGAGAAACAAGGCCGCCCACGGTTGGGAGGCAGCACAGCGCACGGAGCAGAAGATGCATTCGCGTGCGTTAGTGCAGACTCGTCCGTGGTCTCAACAGATGTGAGAGTTCTTGCTTTAAAACACTGAAGTTTGGATTTTTGAAAATCAACAAACACTACTCCCAAGAAACATGATAAAATGACACAAGAAGGCCACAAAGATTTGGGAAACAGCAGATGAGCAAATAGCAACAGGCAAGAGGGCGTGTCGGACACAGACAACTCAGGTTAACATTCCAAACGAGAAGGGTGTTTCATGTGGGTGCCTGAATGGTCCCTAGTTAACCTTCTCACTTCACAGCTGGTGACAAAGCTTTGCAACCCGACTGCTCAGGGGCGCGAGGAAAGTAACATATGCTCAGTGGTACTGGCTTCCGCAGAGCCAGGACGTGGTGTGGGGGGTGGGTGTCGGGGGGAGCTGGGTGTGTGTGTGTGTGTGATTCAGGATTCAGTTAATGAGCTTGCTCTAACGGAGCACAATAGCATCGAGCAGTTTCTACTCCCACGGACCCTGCACAGTCTTCTGAGCTCACGTGGACATGCGAGCACTTGATGGTCATTCAGGCCCTCTTTACCTGGGTAGCGCTCACGTGGCAGGCACCTGCACTGCTCTCTAGTGAGGATGCCCACGGGATGTGAGTCAGCTCTGTGCAGGTCCTCCCGAGCACTGTCTGCAGGGTGGGGTGCCGTGCAGCGCCTCAGGAACCCAAGGTATCCACCTCTGGCTCCAACTTGGGCTCAGCGCTGTCTGCTCCTCAGTGCTCTGCAGGGGAGCATTCAGGGCATGAAGCCACAAAGCTGCATGTCTGGTGGCTCAGATGGTGATGGGACAGAGATACCTTCTCCATGACTGAGCGGCCTGCTTGTCTTTCAGGGTGACATTGGACCACAGGGCTTCCCGGGAACCCCAGGAGACATGGGTCCCAAGGGTGAGAAGGTGAGTCCAACCTGGTTGAGATGTGGGCGGGTCGAATTGCCATCTGAACTCCTAACTGGCAGCAGGGCCATGCTCCCTCGTGTGACGCAGCATCTTCTGTTCCCAGGGGGATCCTGGGGTTGGGCCCAGAGGACCCCCAGGACCCCAAGGGCCCCCAGGGCCACCAGGACCTTCCTTCAGGCATGACAAGCTGGTAAGTCCCACTTGAAGCCTCTTTCACCAGGGGAGGCAGCTCCTGCCTGCAGGGCCAGAGCCGGGCTGTGGGGCCTGGAGCAGAGCCTCTGGGTGGTGCTGGGCCTCAGACAGGCTTCCTTGCAGGCTTCTTTCACTCAGTGTGGGGGATCCCGAGTTCATTCTCTTTGCTTCCCATTGTAAACGTCTTGACCAGGTGTGACATGGGGCAGTGCTCAGGGTGCAGCGCAGTTCAGGGCAGGCAGGCTTGCCCGCTGACGCAGGCAGGGCCGGGGCTGGGGGGGACGGCACTGGGCTCTGGGTGATGGGTGTCTGGGCTCTTTCCTGCAGACCTTCATTGACATGGAGGGGTCCGGCTTCAGCGGTGACCTGGAGAGCCTTCGAGTGAGTGACCCTTAGCCCTGGTGGCTGCTGCCCCGCTATGTTCATGCGCAAGTGAACCATGGGGGCGGGGTGGGGACAGATCAGGTAGGGAAGGGCCTGGCCCTTGGCAGGTGTGGTGTGTGTGACTGTCCTGTGTTTTTCTCTGTCCAGGGCCCAAGAGGTCTCCCTGGCCCCCCGGGGCCTCCTGGTGTCCCAGGCCTGCCTGGAGAGCCAGGCCGCTTCGGGGTGAACAGCTCGGTCATCCCAGGACCCGCCGGCCTTCCTGGTGTGCCTGGGCGGGATGGACACCCTGGGCCCCCCGGCCCCCCGGTAAGACCTGCCTCCCCTCTGCTGCCCACCCCATGAGGGTCGGCTGGGCGTGGGGGAAACGCCAAGTACGCAGGCCTCTTCCTGTCTTGGCACTGGCCCACTGGGTAGCCACATGCAGTGCCGTTTACTTCTTGGTCCTCACGGTGGCCGTCTCCAGGAGTGACCCTCATGGAGTCAGTGTGGGCCTCACCGCCCAAGCCGGGCTGTGAGAAGCCCGGCTACTCCCCTGCTCCCAGCACTGGGGACACAGTGGCCCCGTGGTGCCCACAGATGTCACTATTGTAATCGGGTCACAGGAACCAGGTTTTCACCTGATAATGTGCTCTGGACTTGGGGTTCACCAGAGTGCGAAGTCATCCTATGGACGGCATGCATCCCACTTCAGTGAGTGTCCACCCCAACATCGTGGGTGAGGCAGCCCCTTGCCACATGTCTGCTGCTCCTCAAATTTGATCAGCAACTCAAAAAAAAAATTGGAAAGAAATTTAAAAACTGAGCAGAGCAGCATGAGCTTTCTGACCTGTGTTACTGTGGGTGGGTGGGGGGGTCTTCCTGTGAGCCCCAGGATTCCAGCGTGTCCTTGATTCTCAAGAAATCTGTGGGCACCCAGATCATCTGCTGACTCACTGCTTTCTCAGCCTCTGAGTTCCCTTGGGCCCCACATTCTGCTTTCTGTCCCCCAGGGATCTCCAGGTGTTCCAGGGAAAGATGGGCGACCAGGAGAGACCGGCCCGAAAGGCAGCCTTGTAAGTCACTTCTCCGGGTGTCCAGGGTGGGTGTGACCTAGAGCCACATAGTGTGGCTACAGGGTGACCAAACCCTGGATGTGGGGTTTGGCCCTGGTGACCTCATGCAGGAGAAATGCCACGAGGCTGGCAACACCAGGGGTTATGGGGGGCTTTACCCCAGCAGGCAGCCACTGTCATCACTGTCATCCCAGGGCCACAGCTGGGGACCTAGGGCTCCCTGCAGTTCACTGAGAGTCACAGCCATCTGGGGATCAAGGAAAAATTCAGGACTCATCATCACAGTTCTTTTATGACAACTTGACTAATGCCTCTTGAACAATATTGACACTATTAGATTTGGGTGTTCTCATTTCAAGTCTTGATTTTGGTTGCATCAATAATGGACATGTGTTCGAGGCTGCAGTGACCTCTAACTGGGGCCATGGATTCCTCCTGGTTTTCACTGAGTGAACAGGGGTGCCAGCCTGCAGCCATTTGGAGGCACTTACATGTGCCACCTTCCTTGAGCACCGGGCTGCTTTGGGCTCAGCCGAGGGGGTGCATTTTAAGGGAACCCTTCTGTGCTCAGAGCTCATTGCTTTGCCTGACCGAGCTGGAAGGGCTGTCCTGGGGCTTTCACTGTTGGGCACACAGTGTGGTAGGGACGTGCTCTCGGCAGCAGGGTCCGTTCTGTTCCCCTAAGGCCGAGTCTCCCCTGGAGCCTCTGTCCCCACCTGAAACAGGAGCAATGGTGGGAACAGCCAAAGGGATGACAGGGCCAGGAGAGGCACTTGGAGTCTTAGACACATGTCTTCTGGGAGCAGCACCCAGGTCCCAGGGCCAGGAGAGAGGAGAATCAGAAATCATGAAATCAGCATAAATGGGAAAACAGGGGCCTTGTGGGCCGGGAAGAATGAGTGAAACCCTGTGTGCTTTTCTCTTGCTGGCTGCTCATTGGTCTGTTTTTGTAGTAACCATTCTCTTTCCTGCAGGGCAAAGAGGGCGCCCCAGGACCTAAGGTACAGATATACTTCTGAATCTAGATTGGCTGCTGGGTGGAAGTAATCCCTGCACTGCCCAAGGGCACAGGAGTTGGGGGGGCAGCCGGGAGTGAGTGAGCTGTCCTTGGTGCTGATTATGGGGTCTGGCCTTCATGCCCTGGCTCTGTCCATCCTGCCAGGAGTTGCCCGGGCAGCAGGTGTCACGTTTGCCCTTTGGGATCCTGCGTGTGTCCCTGATGCTCTCACACAAAGGGAGGCCACCCAGATGTGGGGCCTCACTGCTACATCTGTGCTACCCCCCCCACCACAACTGGCCCCCAGATCTCCATGAGGAGCCACTCCATCTTCTGGCTGGACAGGGTGGGCCTAACTGGGGACTTCCCCAGCATGTCCAAGGAGCAGTACCCCAAGAAACTGCCTGGATGTGGCAAAGCTCCAGGCCTGGGGTCCACTAGGAAACCTGCAGGGGATGTGAGGAGGTGGGTGATGGTGACATCAGAACCAGCTGGGAGGAGCCTGAGGAAGGGATGAGCTCAGGGCAGACACGTGTGTATATAAACTTGTGTCCGCACAGAACACAGGCCCAGGGCTGGGTGAGGAAACTGGGATGGGGGTGTGCGGGGGACAAATGCGGGTACAATTAGTCCCAGCATGTGCCCAGGTTCCAGCTCGTGGAGTGACTGAACACTACAGTCAGATATTCAGATAAGATAACTCGGACTCTTTAAAAACCTGAAGTCCTGTGAATGAAGATTCTAGATCCGTACAATGTAATTATAAACCTTTGTAGGAAACTGGGGGCGGAGCGGAGAAGAGGAAACTAGACAGAGATTTCAAAGAACAGACTTGAATAGGAACATTTCAAAGATCAAAAATTAGATGAGATTTTTAAATATAAAAAGATGAAAGGCACTAAGATTAAAATCAAGAAACTGAAGTGAGATTCCAAAAAAATCAGCCCTTTGGTAAAATGGGTGATAAAAAATTTTTTAAAAATTACATATCTAGTGAAATAAAAACAGTGAGCACAGCTAAGATGTAACAGGACAAGCCCCGCCCCGGGCATTGGTGATAAAAGACAGGTGGAGATGGTGAGGGTCGGGTGGCAGAGCAGCTGGGGGGTTCGGTCCTGACCCGTGGGGTACCTGCAGAGGGAGCGGTGAGTGGATCCCCCTGTTACTGGGGAGGCCGCTGGAGGAAGTGGGACTGGCCCCGGTCGGAGCACAGCGCTTCTAGGAGGGCCCTGGGAAGAGAGGCTGTGGTCAGCATGGCCAAGGCCATAGAAAGGTGGCCTTCCTGCCAGCACGGGGCAGTGGTCACACTCAGCCCTTGCTGTGGGTTCAGTGTCTTTCACGGCCCATCCAAACTCTGGTCACCTCCATTTAAAGATGAGGAAACTGAGGTTCAGGTGTTAAGTGGTCACAAGGAGGTGGGGCTGTGCCCAGGTTTGGACTCAGCATGAGGGCCTCCCTGTTTTGGGTCCCTGTGTCCCCCGCTCCCCTGCACTGGCTCCTGCCTGGCTCGTGGGACCCTCAAGCTCCGAGCAGCAGGTCTGCCTCTGAGACTGGAGCCCCACCTTGCACCTGCCTCCTGGCTCTTGCTCCCCGAAGCTGTGCCTCATGCCCCCACAACCCCAATCTGTGGAGTAAAGGGGTTCCAAGCCTCCCAGACTCACTGTAAGCCCCCCAGCCTCCTCCCCCTGCTCCTTCCAGCAGTGCCCTGTGCCCTCACTGGCCACAACTCCTTGGGCTCTCCAGCCCCCTCCACTCCAGCCCCATGAATGCAGCATGCTCTGCACGGTGCACCCCAAACTGTGAGCACTTTGCTCCCCTAGAATGAACGCCTCAGGTGTGGATGGCTAGTTCTTCCTCAGTTGTTTCATTCTGAACTGGGTGAAATCCTCGTAAGTTCAGAAGAGGTGCAGTCGGGTTTGCTTGCTTTGCGCAGTGTTATTTTTCCCTGTGGCTTTACGGATTTGTAAAAAGCTTTGTAAGGGAATGTAGGTGTGTTGGGGACACGGTGGCTGTCTCCAGGTTCAGCTGACACCCACCCTGATGGCCCAGAGTGATGACATTCTCTCTCCACCTGTGCAGGGAAGCAAGGGAGACCCTGGTCCCATCGGCACTCCTGGAGAGAGCGGCTTGGCAGGACCACCTGGACCAGCAGGACCGCAAGGGCCCCCCGGGCCTCCTGGGCCCCCTGGGCCTCCGGGACCAGGACTTCCTGCAGGATTTGTGAGTGTCAGCTGCACCTGATCCCCCCAAAGCTGACACTGAGCCCCGTGCCTCCATCTCAGGATCCCACACTGACGGCTCCATGGTGGAGTCCCCACGTGTGAGCCTTGAGTGGCTGGGTGGGCTCAGCAGGGTGGGCTGGTTGGCCTTGGGGCACAGTGAGTGTGGTGTGTCTCCTGAGCCACATCAGTGCCTGGACAGCACCTCGTGGTGGAACCATGGGCAGTGGGAGGGAACAGGTGCCCAGTTCCACAGAAGGTCACCGCTCAGGGACTGTGTCCAGGGAGTGATGCTGAAGGGCTGGTCTGGGGACATGAAAGCAGAAACTGAACACTGTCACACAGCCAGGGCCCCAGCATGTGCTCGAAATAAGAGTAAGTGGCCTAAACTTCAGAGAGACCAAGGGCACCCACCCAGCATGTCCCTGCCTCTGGGCAAATGCTTCTTATTTGAGGGTCAAGGTCGGCCAGTGACTGGGCCCTTACAGTCCACCCTGCTCAGCCATGGCCGGAGTTCCACCTTGGGCCAGTTGCTGGCCTCAGAGAGGGTCTCTTTCTATAAGAGACACAGACCAGAGCCGTGTGCTCTCCAGGATGACATGGAAGGCTCCGGGGGACCCAGAATCCAGGATGACACGGAAGGCTCCGGGGGACCCTTCTGGCTGGGAGCCCGAAGTGCTGATGGGCTGCAGGTACTGCCTGCAAGCGGCTTGGTGTCAGCTCCTGGGGGGTAGGGGGTGGAGGCGCCCGGGGCAGGGGTAGTCTTTGGGACAGGCCCCAGGTGGGGACCAGGAGCAGTGCTGCAGAGCCAGTGGGGCCACCTGAGTCCAGGGCGCCATCTACCCTGGGGGTCCCCCACATGGGAAAATGCCCCAGGTGGTCAAGGTGAATGAATATGGGGGCGGAATGTGCGCTGAAACCTGCGTCTTTCTGGGAAATCTCAGTGTCTGGGTTCTGTTCGGCACCTTGGAAGTCTCAGCTAGCCAGAGGGAGTGACCGAGCAAGGTTTCCATTTTGAGCAACGCCATCAAGGATTTGTACTTGGACAAAACCAAGTCTGTAGTCAGCTAGGACGGCTGTGCCATCTCAGCTCAGCACCTTCTCTTTTCTGTGTTAGACACCTCAGCCCTTGTCAGTAGCAGTTAGCTGCCCTGGTGTCAGGTGAGGTGTGAGCCAACAGGTGACAAGAATCGTCAGCTGTAACTCAAAGGTCGGGAGGACCCCATGAGCAGAGACAGCGAGATCTGGAGGCACAGGCCCCTTCTTTCAGGGTTCCGCCCTCACATACACAGCTTCAATGCGCCTGCCCTCAGGAGGGGTCGGTGGGACTATCTCAGGCCTCCGGCGAGGTGATGGAGACCCTCGCAGGTTACAGCGAAGCCAAGCCAGCCAGACAGCAGCATTCTGTCTGTTCAAATGCACCCACGTTTAGTTAAACAAAAGGCAAGTGTGTCTGTGTTGGGCTGATCTGGGCCGAGGGCCCAGGTGGCGCTGCCTTGGGGACCAGCGCACCCACTACTGTGAGTGTGCGTCCTGTCGGTGGGGCTCTAGACGGTGCTGCTCTGGGAGGGAGGGGCTCTCTCCCCCGGCAGGACCAGGCTCTAAGGGCCTCTTCCCTCTCTGCCCCCACAGGGACCGCCTGGCAGGCCTGGAGTCAAGGTCAGTGCAAGATTAGTTAGCAGCTGCCCCTGCTGCACTCCCTGCAGCCAAGAGTTAGTCACTGCTTCACACACCCCGTTCTTCGTGGAGAATGTGGGGACAGCAGCCACACACTGACCCAGAGTCTGCCTGTGGGGTGGCAGTGTCTGGCCCATCTTTCCAAAGCCAAATGGCCTAAGATCCATGGCCTCGCATCCTTGAAGTGTGTGCTGACTTGAGGGAAAAGAGGGGCTTCCAGAAGGGACCCCTACACTCTCTGACAGCAGTTGGTGCCCCGGAGACCTCAGGTCTAATCCTGGGCCACCCACCCCCTGAGCAGCTCCCCCTCCCTGTGGGTGGTGAGGGCAGGAGGAACCTCCAGCAAGGGTCCCCCTGGGGCCCCTCTGCACTTCTGCCTCCCCCTCACAAGTTCCAGGGTGTGGGGGGCCCACGGTGGGATCAGCCAGCTGCTGTCACCTCTTCTTTTAGTATGGTTTGCTTTGATTTCCAGAACTTTGGAACATTTCAAAAGTTGAGTTTTTAGAAGTACGTAATTATTAGCTTTCCTAAATTGTAAAAAAGGAAGTCATCTCATAGAATGACACAATGGCGTGGCCTCCAGAACAGCCCTGGCCGTGCGTGCGTCCTTATCCTGTGGCCGACCCCCAGTCACACGGGCCACAGAGTCCCTGCACACGTTACTCAGTGTCCCCAGACACTCAGCTCTGAGCTGGCGGAGGGGAGCAGTGTGAGAGGCCACCTGAGTAACCCCTTCCTGCCCTTCTCTGGGGACGGGTGGGCACTGCCGTGGGCTGCACCAGCCCCACGCTGCACTCACAGAGCCCCTTTGCCCACTTCAGGGGGATCCTGGAATTCCTGGGCTACCGGGGACCAAGGTAAGAACCTTTTCTCGAGTTCAGAAAATTGGCAATCTTTATTAGTGCTGGTGTGGCGCAGGGAGGGGTCCTTGGGCTGAGGCCAGGAGCCTCGCCTGGGCTGTGTGCCATTGGCCCCTTGTCCCCTCAGGGGCTCAGTAAGGGGTGAGCCTGCACGTGGCCACCCTCCAGGCCAGGCAAGGTGTCCTTGCTCCACTCTCCCCAGTTTGTCCTTGGGCTGTCTCAGCCCTGACTTCATTCCTTAGAACTTAAGACCCACTTATCCCAAGTGCTCTCATCCCAAGGGCACACCCCCCTGCCTAGGTTTTTCTGCTTCTTCCTGGCTCTGCTTCCTCCTGGTTGTGCCCCCAAAATCACGGGAGCCACCCACACGAGTCCTCTGACCCTCCCCCAACCCCTGGCCCCCGGCCTCGACCTGCCCTCCTCTCCTGCTCAGAGCTTCGGGAAAGCTGAATCGTTCTTGGGTGCGAGTCCTGGCCTGCCACCTCCCCGACACTGGCTTGCTGGGCTGTCTGACTCACGGCTCTCTCCTTGTGCCCTTTGCAGGGAGAAGTCGGTGCAGGCGGACCCCCTGGGTTTCCCGGCCTCCCGGGCAGAGAAGGTGTGGACGGAGCCCAGGTAGGTGACTGCCCAGGGCTACTGGTGCAAGGGGCAACAGCCTGAAGTTGAGAGCTGGCACCCGGTGTGTCTCTCAGGAGGCCCCCCGGCTTAGTTCTCTATGTCCCGAGCAGCCCAGAGACGCCACTCCATGGACTGACTCTGTGGGTGCCTGGCTCGTAGCCCCCTCTGCTCCGTTTGGTCAGTGAATGAAGAACTCTCATATCTCTCCATTCCAAGGGCATCTCAGCAGTCTGTCCCGAGGACGGGGAGGGGCTCATGCTCTGTTTATGATGAAACGTTTCCTTCCCGTCTCTACAGGGACCAAAAGGAGAAAAAGGGACCCAGGGAGAGAAAGTGAGTGGGTAGGGGAGGGGTCTTGGGTGCACAGGGTGGGTTGGTGGGTGCATGGCCACCTTGGGGGGGGTGCTTCTCTCTCCCCCATGTGACCTCAGAGAATTGGGGTGAAGACCCTCAAATCTGGGGGCTCTCAGACTAGGGCGGGGGCTCTCAGTGCATGTCCTCGTGTCCTGTGGGCACCGGGAACCCCTGCAAAGTGCTTGGTGGGTCCCAGCCAGAGACACTGCAATGATTCTTCCCCCACAAGCAACCCCAGCGATGAATCTGGGCTTCTTCTTCCAGGGAGACACAGGGAAGGACGGAGTGGGGCAGCCGGGGCCCCCCGGGCCCCCCGGACCTCCAGGGCCTGTCGTCTATGTGTCGGAGCAGGACGTAAGGACACTGCATGGGTGGGCACATGTTCTGCCTGGATCCCCAGTGCTGATTGCAGCCAGGGCAGGGTTGACCCCCAAAGGTCAGGGGCTGCACTCTGATTCCAGTGCAGGTACCCCCAAATATATCAAGGTTTCCTGTCTGTTGGTTCGGCGGGCAGGGTTTCTCACTGTCAAAGCAAGTCCTTCCAGAGCTGTCTGTTGGCAGCGCATCCCATTTGTCCAAGCGTCAACTCTCTCAGATGCTGAGGTGTCCCCTCTGACCCCCAATGCACAGCACAGGGAGGTGGGGGCACTGGTCTCCTGGTCCCAGGTCACAGATGGTCCTATGGTTCAGGAGGCAGGATCCCAGGAGCGCCTTCACTTCTCATCTGAGGGACCTTGAGGCACAAACTGGAAGGACTACTGAAAGCAAGATTTTGTCCCGTGTTTAATTTCTGGTGGTATTCTGTTGGTCTTTGTGACCGTGATAAAACGAGAGTGGAATTATAATTGTAAACATGGTTTTCTTTTCTTTTTGTGATTTGTGTGTTTCTGCCACCTTGGTGACAGAGAGCAGTGGCCATGACCCATGGAGTCAAGGTATGTGCCGTCCTGTCTGGAACTCGGTCTGGCTGTGCAGTGCCGGTCGGCGTCCCCACAGTGACACCGTTGCTCTCTCTCACAGGGCCAGCCGGGGTATGCGGGACTCCCTGTAAGTAGCCTCAACCCCACACCTGCCTGGGCGGGGAGCGAGATTTCCACGTTGTGAGGGAGCCCAGTGCTGGGTGGGTGCCTGCGAGGTAGAGCCCCCAGGGTCTAGCACAGGGTCTCAGGCAGGGTGGAGCAAGCTCTTCTCTGCCTGTCATTGGTCAGGACTGTGAGGCAGGCGCATCCTGGGCAGCCATGCTGGGGGTGAGCGTGAACAGCCATTGTGGTCCTGGGTCACTAATGCGGGCCCTCATTCCTGCCTCTCTCCCTGCAGGGGCCAGCCGGGCCAAAGGGAGACCTGGGCTCCAGAGGCCAGCAGGGCCCCCCGGGACCCAAGGTGAGGGACTTAGTGCCATCTGCTTAGGGATGACCCCCTCTGTGACCCAGAGAGGCAGTCCCAGTCCATCCAGGTGATCACTCTCTGCAGGGGGACCTGGGAGCCCCCTCGGCCCACCCAAAGCCTGTGACAGATTCTGACATGGATTCTCCTCTCGGTCACTTGACTGTGACCCATGGGGAACCCCCCAAGATGCCCAGCCACAGAGCCCCCAGAAGGGCAGGCCTGTTCATGTGCCATGCTGGGGTGTTTGTGCGGGTGCCAAGTGGGGTCTCGGCTGCAGTGGGTGCGGGGGCCCTCTCCCCTGGAGCTGGCCTCCCTGATGCGCTGCCTGGCGTTCCAGGGTGAGAAGGGTGAGCCGGGCACAGTCTCCGGCCCTGACGGCAGAGCGCTGGCCTCAGCCCAGAAAGGAGCCAAGGTGAGGCGCGGGGCCCGCTTTTCACCCCTCGCACAAGCTTCTGAAGCACGGTTTCCCAGGGCCGTGGAGTCAGCGTGGGTGGGGGGTTGTCCAGCTCCTGGCCATGCATGAGAGCCCTGAGCAGGGTTCCGGAACCTTCCACACCTTCGGCCCCTTCCCCTTCCTTGTCTTTTCCTCTTTCACAACCACATTGGGAGGCCCCTCAAGGCCCCCAAGTCTGAACGCTCAGATGGGCTGCAGCCCGGCTGGTCCGTGGTTTTGAGGGCACTCAGGGTCATGGCTCTGGGCTCAACTGCAGGAAATAGAGCCCTCAGCTTTGTCCAGCGGGAGCTTACGTATCCTGCTGTCTGGCTGCCCCTTGGCCTCAGGCTGCAGCAGGGGCTGGGGTCAAGAGTGGGCTCCTTGAGGGGCCTGTCCCCAGCAGGTGACTCTCCAGACAAGGCCCCTGGGTGGGTCCTGGGGAGTAGCTGGACCCAGATCAGGTGGCTATGGGTACAGGTCTATGGGAAGCCGTGAAGCCCCCAAGGTTGAGGACAGGCCACAGGACCTTGGACCCCAGACCCAGAGAAAACTCTGCCAGCCTCAGCTGGCATCATACCTAAAGTCAGGCCATGGGAACTCTCACCAGGACACTGCAGGACAGCCCCTCAAGCTTCAGGGCCCCAGGGTGCACCCCTCCATGTAGCCCGGATTGATACTGTACTCCAGCACCCTCTCTCTGTTTGTTTCCTTCCCTCCTGGTTGTCAGTGCTTCAGTGCACGTCCAGAGGGCATGCAGATGGGCACAGGGACCCTTTGGGGGTTTACGCTGGTGGCGGGGGAAGATGACCTGCGGCCACCTAACAGTGCTTCTGGTTTCTGTTCAGGGGGAGCCCGGCTTCCGAGGACCCCCGGTGAGTAGGCCCACACCCTTCCAATGTACCTGTGCATGCGCCGCACCCTGGAAGCACCTGCTACCACCTGGCTACTGAGCAAGCGGCCTGAGTGGCCAGAGTTTACACCCCAGCTGCGTGTGTAAAGCTCAGGACAAGTGTTGGTGGGGGACCACAGCAGGGTCTGTCTGCTCACCTGAAACGTGGCTCCTCTCCGCAGGGTCCATATGGGCGGCCCGGGCACAAGGGAGAGATTGGCTTCCCCGGACGACCGGTGAGGATCGGGGCTTCCTTGCTCTGTGAGGGGGCAGGCAGAGAGCACCCCAGGCCCATGGGGGCCATGGGCTCCGGGGAGAGTGGACTGCCATCCTTCCCACTGTCCTCCCCGAGGGGGGCCCTGGCTGAACACATCTCTCTTTGGCACGTAGGCAAGGAGTCCTGGCCCTGTTCGTGGGCAGCTCACACCTCAGGAGGCCCCGGGTGGGGATGGGGATGGGAGCTGCTGGTGGTGTGAGGCTAGAGGTGGGCTGGGTCCACCCTGGTGGGGACTGACACAGCGGCATGAGGCTGGCGGTCTTGGCCAGCACCCAGCAGTTTCCCCTTCACTCTCCCTAGGGTCGTCCTGGGATGAACGGATTCAAAGGGGAGAAAGGGGAGCCAGGAGACGCCATCGGAATTGGTACAAGAGTGAGTGTCCTTTAGGGGGCGGACCAGGCACAGCTGGGACACCCAGTACCTGGAACAGCCTCATCCTCACTCTGTGCTGGTCCTTGATGCCTAGGCCTTGCACACATACACGTACGTGGACTGCACACATGTGCTCATACACACAGCCCCAGCCCCCCAGGAACTGGCACTTTTTCTTGGAAGGGCATCCAGGTTGGCGAGGGTTCTGAGCTGCAGGCTTCTCTTCACTCAACGCCACGTTATAACTTGTAGTAACTCTGCCACCTTCTGAGCCAAGGGTTTTATTTCAGTAATGTCAGCATGGTAATGCACTTGTAGCCATTTGTACCTGAGACTCAGTGCTTGCTTCTGACACGCCCGGCACCCAGTGTCCCACCAGCCACTCTTCTGCGGTCTCTCCTAGAGGGCCCACCCCAGTCATGTCTCCTCCCCCCCCTGAATCTCAGCCCAGGGCCCTGCCACCCCTCCCTGGTCCCTGCCCAGAACCCCTGTGAGCCCAGCCTGGCAGCGGCAGTGGTCCTGAGCTCACTGTTCAGGCAAATCTGCTCTTCTCATGTTTTCTTTGCTGCTGGTTCTTCATGGAGGCTTCCTTCCCTTTCGTGGACTAAAACTGGGCTGCCGTGAAAAATCAGGGCAACATTTTGCAGGGTTCTGATGCAGAGACGAAACAATTGGTCACATTTGTCAGTAAGGAAGAGAGGCTCTTGAGTTCTTTTCATGCTGTTGGGGTTTAAAGGCGGACAGGAAAGGGCAGCACACACTCTCCTGGTTGGGTGCGTCCCACCTCTGGTTCTGCTTCTGGTCCCTCCGTCCTTGGTCATACTTAGACAGTGGCTTGGGGTGTGACCACTATGACTCGCCAAAATGCTGCTGCCCTGGCCAGGGTCAATGGCCATACTGTGAACCTGACTGACCAGAGCTTTCTGTTCCTCCTACACAGTGTCCACCTGGCCCCCCAGGGCCTCCAGGGCCCCCAGGGCTTCCAGGGCCCCCATCTCTTCCCCGGACCCCTGTCTATGACAGCAACGTAAGTCCCCTGGCACCCACTCTCCCCTCCCGAGTCCTTAGGAGGAGTCCTCAGTTGTTGCCACCTTCCCGCCACTCACCCCCTACCCCCAACCCCAGCGAGAGGTAGCCCAAGCTACCGCCTCTGCGTAGGGGAGATGCGGCACTTCTGGGAGGAAGCCAGGTAGTGGGGCTTGGGCTGCCTGTCTTGGGGGCCACAGTCAGTTAGAACACAAGCCCCCCAAGGGAAGTACAGGCCGGGGACAGGGAGAGCTCTCTGGAGTCTGAGTACTGAGCACCAAGCCCCATGGTTCTTGGGAGGGTGGACATCCTCATTTCACGAGGCTCGGAGGCGTGAAGTAGACTCGTTGGGTTTCCTCATGTCAGGACCAGAGCTCCCTATTTCGAATCCTGTGTCCTCTCCCTCCTGCTTCGTGCACCCCTGTCTCGGGGGGTGGGGATGACTCAGGTGGAGGGTGCCTATGTGGCCTCAAAGAGGGTACTGGGGCTTCTGGACTCAGAGGCCCTTGGGTGGGTGGTAACCTTGGTTTTCAGGGCATCTCTCTCAGAAGCCAACTTTGGCTTGTTCTTTGCAGGCTTTTCTGGAGTCTGGCCCTGCGGGACCTCGGGGATTGCCAGGTGAGGGCTCCTGGGGCCCCCGGGAGATCTGGGGATGAGCAGCCCTTTACAGGGAGCTGGGTGCTCCAGGACTTGGGCTCCCTGCCCACCTGGCTCTGGGGCAGCAGGAATTTTCTGGGGATCTAACTGTGGACCAGAGTGGACACAGGTGGCCACCTACTTACTGTCCACAATTTAGATTCAGCTTCAAAGGGCATATTCCTCTTATGCACTTGATAATGGGCACTGGGGTCTCTGTCCTTCCAGGGCACCAGGGGCCTTCTGGACCAAAGGGTGACAAGGGAGAAGTGGGCCCGCCCGGACCACCAGGTGAGAGTGCTCTGGGCAGCCCTGGGCTGAGGGGCTGGGCTTGCGGCTGCCCGCTCCACGCTCCTAGGGGAAGGAAGTTCCTTCCCAGCTCACAGGACCCTGACAGGACCTGTGGGGCTGGGCTGGACTTGGGGACATCTGGTTGGCCCTGTAGCACTCACAGGGCCCAGCAAAGACAGTGGGGCCAAGACAGTGGCCAGACAGGGTGTTCCGTCACCCCGCCTGCTGAGGAGCAGGGCAGGGCCCCAGTGTGTGCCTCCCAGAGAGGACCTGGCACCTCTGATAGGGACGGTGAGGGCCTTGAGGGCAGAAGGAAGTGATGCTGCCGAGATCGGGGATGAAGGACAGTGGAACCATGTGGGCCAAGGTGACGGCAGTGTGGCAGAGTCCGAGGCTCCGAGACCCGGCCCTGCCCAGGGAAGGCCTCGTGCCTGTGAGATGCCAGGCGTCGAGGGCGAACCATCCCTAAGGGATGAGCCAAGAGCGAAAAAGAAATGCGTAGCCAATAACCAACAGAAAGGAAACTTGATCTAAAAGATGGACAGAAAGGAGAGAAAAAGGAGCACAGAACAGGTAGAACAAATAGAAAATAGGGAGCAAAACAGTTCATTAAAATCCAACTCTAACATTAAGTGCATTAAACCTGGATAGGCTAAATACTATAAAAACACAAAATTCTCAGTGGGATAAAAACAAAATTGTGCGCTGCTTACAGGAGGCACTCCCTAAATGTAAAGACATGAAAGCACATGTGAGGAACCAGACAGGTGTGTCTCAAGGCAGAAACATCGCCAGAAATGAAACATTCATGACGATTAGAGAAAACCCACCAAACAAAAGGAAAACATAGCAAGTCCAAATCTGCCTGCGCCTAACAGCATAGCTTCAAGACGCAAAAAGCAAAAACCGGCAGAACTAAAAGGAAAGACGTGAAAGGCAGTCATCGCAGGACGTTTTAAGCTGGCTTTCACTAAGTGATGGGAGCCGCAGAGAAAGGGCAGGTCCGTCGGGAGACTGGAGGATCTGAACGGGTGACGACCTGGACCCCAGGCCCTGGCACCAGCACAGAAGACACAGCCTGTTCACTGCAGGGAACCGTGCCAGGCAAAAGCAAGTCTGCAGGTTGGGAAGAGGTGACATCATTCAGTGTGTCCTCTGATGACCATGGAAGCAAGCAGGAGACCTACACTGAAGTCACAGCTGGAAAGTACCCGGGTCAGAGAAACCCCAGCAGAGCTGACTGAACTCCCAGAGCCGATGGATACCGATGCCAGTACTGAAGGAGGTGGGTGCGCTGAGGCCCGTTTGCACCCTCACTCTGCCCCCACCATGGCGCTGGAGCAGCGGGACCCCCACTCGATGAGAAGGACTCAGGACAGAACCCCGGTGGTGACTGCGTGTCAGCTGGGCCATCCTTGGACTCCCACCAATCAGGGGTATCACCCCAGTGATCCCACCTTCCGGCTTTATCCGGTTTCCAGAGTAAAGGTCATGGGAGAAGGTTAACCCAAGGTGACTTTCCCACCTGGAAGGAGAAGGGGTTTTATTAACTCTTACAAAACCCAGCTTTAGGTTGTACATATTTCTAAGCATCAAGCCCAAGAAGTTAGAAAACAAACAGCAAATTTAACTTGAAGCCAGTAAATGGGGAAAAAATAGTAAAAGTCAGAAGTGAATGAAAAAAAGTATATGTACTAGGAAGCATCAAGAAAGTCAAAACAGCAAGTTAGTTCTTCGAAAAGATTAATAACACTAATGTGTCCCTCGCACGGCTGGCGGAGGAGAGGGGTGCAGCAGCGAGGCCCTGGGAAAGGGTCTGCTCTGCCCCCTGCTGGCGGGAACTCACTCCACCACCCAGTGCACGGTTTTGGAAAGAGAGAGAGAAGCCTGGCACTTTCTCAGACAACACGTTTTCCATGTTCAACAACCCAAAAGGAGCCACAGATAAACCATTAGAATTAGCAAGTAAATTTACCATGGTTGTCAGGGCAGTTGACAAAATCTGCGACCAGTCGTAAACAAAATGAACATTTTAAAAGGCTCCCATTAGAGAGGGATCGCTTGCTTATTGCCAGAGGAGGAGTGGGTGGGGGGAGAATTGGATGAAGGGGTTCAAAACGTACCAGCTCCCTCCCAGTTCCAAGGCAAGTGATGTAACGAGCAGTGCGTGACTGTGGCCAACCTGCTCTGTGGTGTCTTTGAAAGTTGCTAAGGGACTAGATCCCAAAAATGCTCATCACAGGGGAAAGAGCTGTGTGTGTGTGTGTGTGTGTGTGTAAGACATGATGGATGTTGGGTAAACTTATTGTGGTAATCAATTCACCGTATACCTCAGCCAAGTCATTCTGTTCTACACCTTGAACTTACGCAAGTTGTTTGTCAGTTATGTCAATAAAACTGAAAGGAAAAAACGGCGCTGTGAACAAAAATATTCCGAAAACCAAGTAACTAGGAATAAGTGTAACAAAATAGGCAGAGGGTCTCTAGACAGAAATACAGGAAGAAATGAAAAAGCCACGGCTGATGTGTGGGGGGAGGGCTGTAAGGGAAAGATTCTGCGCCCACGGCTCACTGAGGCCCCGCCCACGATCTCTCCTTATAGGGCAGTTCCCCTTTGACCTCTTCCAGCTGGAGGCTGAAGTAAAGGTGGGTGACACCCCTCCTCCCTTTGCCCAGCGTCCTCAGACCACTGCCCCACCAAGTGCCTCCTTCTGCCCTGGCTTGGTTTTGCAGGGACTCACTTGGGTGCAGTGAAAAGCCTGCTGGGCTTGTGGGGCTCAGCGCCTGCCCCTGCTGACACCAGCAGGGGGAGCCGGCCTCTCCCGAACAAGCCTTTCTATCCACAGGGGGAGAAGGGTGACCGAGGGGACGGTGGGCAGAAAGGAGAGAAGGGCGAGCCTGGAGGTGGTGGCTTCTTCGGCTCCAGTCTGCCTGGACCCCCTGGCCCGCCAGGCTTCCCTGGGGCTCCGGTAAGTCTGGGTCCCAGGCCACCCAGCAGGTGCCGACATCTAGACCCAGAGGCCTGCATTCTCCAGAGTCCCCGGGGAGCTGAGGGCAGGACCAACCTGGCCATGAAATTCTGATGAGGCCCACGGGCTGTACCCTGCATGCTTGGCCCCAGGCATTCCTGTCCTGATATTGCCCTTATGGTGGGTGGGGCAGGTGGGGGGAGAGACATGTGGCAGGCCTGGTGGGTGCACAGTCCCTCCCTCCCCAGGGTGGCACGCTGACCTGGGGGTGTCTCCAGCCAGGGAGGGGGCACAGGGTGGGGCCCTCACCCAGCCCTCACCCAGCCCTCATGCCCTCTCTCCTCCTGGCACTGCTCCTCCCAATCAGGACCCCTCAGGGAGACTGTGCCCTGGAAGATTCCAAGGCACAGTGGGCCCAGCTTCTGCCTGGGGGACGGAAGGGGTTAAGGGCCCTCAGGGGTCACATTTTTGTTCAGGGGCTGCTCTAGTCCACGTGCTGGGATCAGACCCCAGCAAAAGGGACACACAAGGTGGGCAGCAGGGTTCTCCCAGGTCCTGGGGAGGGAGATGACATGGCTCAGAGGCAGCCTAACCTCTCCAACGTGAGTGTCCTTGGCCTGGGGACCTAGCTGACAATGCCACGTGTCGTCTTGTCCACCTTAGGGTCCCAAAGGAGAAAGCATCAGAGGCCAGCCAGGCCCACCTGGACCTCAGGGGCCCCCCGGCATTGGCTACGAAGGGCGCCAGGGGCCTCCTGGGCCCCCTGGCCCACCAGGGCCTCCAGGGCCCCCTTCCTTCCCCGGCCCTTACCGGCAGCGTAAGTTGGGCAGGAGGGGCCTGGACCCCAGCCTTGTACAGCTGGAGCTGGCAGGTTCCCACATCTGGTTTCTGTCTCATAGCTGTCAGCGTTCCTGGACCCCCAGGCCCACCTGGGCCCCCTGGGCCCCCCGGGACTATGGGAAGCTCCTCAGGGGTAAGCATCCCCCTGCCCCTGCCCCTGCCCCACAGGGACCCTGGTGCTGAGGCTGGCTTTGCCCCAGGGCAGACACAGAAGCCCTGAAATGTGGTTTCTGAAGCAGAAGTGGGTGCCAGGAGGCTAGGACTGAGGTGGGCAGGGGAAGAGGACAGCCGTGGAGTAGGTGCCAGTGGGCAGGACTAGGGTGCAGAGAGGGGCTCTGGCGGCCTGCGGACTCGCCGCAGTGTTCATGGATAGCCGGGGGACATGCCAGGTCCCCTTCTCCCTCCTTTCCGAGGGCAGCCTCTGCCACTCCGCCTTCTCGGGTATTCTCAGGAGCCAGCCTGAAGAGAAGGCACCTAATTAAGTCTTAAGGACTGCTCCTTGTTGGGGGCATCCATGGGCCCACACCAGCACCCTGAAATGTCCAAATGCAGTCCACCGAATGCCCCACCCGTTGGGACAATGTTGCCTCCCTGTCCCCACCCCAACCCTCTCGCTGTGAGACCAGTGCCACAGTGGGAACCTATTGGGTCGGGCATCCAGCAGGTGAGGATCTGGCCCACGTACCAGACCATGCTGGACAAGGTGCCTGAGGTGCCAGAGGGCTGGCTCATGTTCGTGGCTGAGAGGGAGGAGCTGTATGTCCGTGTCCGAAATGGGTTCCGGAAGGTCCTGGTGAGTTCTCAGCATGGTCTTGTCCCTGTATGGGCCATAGAAGGGGCGGTGACCTCCTGCCCTCACTCATGGCAGGTAGGACAGGGGAGAAGATGCAAGGTGGGAAGCTCTGTATGGAGGAGGGAAGCCCCAGGCTCCCAGGCAGGCGGCACAGGGACCCAGGCCACAGCTGGCACCCACAGCAAGCCCTTCTTCCTGCCACGGTTGGGACCCTCAGGCCCATCCTTAGGGTGGCCCTCCCCAGAAATAACTGACAGCCAGCGCTCCTCACTATACTTTTTTTTTTAATTAGTAGAATCTTTTTGCGGTTTACAGGGAAGTAGCCCTCACGCTCTTTAAAGTGCATGGCGGTACTAAATGTTTATTGTGCCAGGCACTGTGCAAGCACCGGGCGCAGCCGTGCCAGCCTCCATGGGGAGGGAAGTCCTGGCTGGGCATGTAGACTCAGGAGGGTTGCTGGCTGTGGGTGCTGCTTCATAAAGTCACTGGAGTGACCCCCGTGTCTTCTTCCAGCTGGAGGCTCGGACGCCCCTCCCACGTGGGACGGTAAGGGACGCTGCTCTTTCCCAGCTGTGCGTTTAGGGGTGCAGTTCTTTGAGCCTGGTGGGTGGATGGCCAGGACGTGTGGTCTGTGGACTGTCTCTCATTTCTGGAGCAACACTTCGTGCTTTAGGACCCTGAAGTCACCTCTGCTGGGGACAGAGAGTACACACACCAAGAGGGCCTCCCTTCAGTCCACACCCATTGTCCTCCCCAGGCTCCTGGGGCCCAACTCCACTGTCCATTCGAGTCTTTGCTGTCCCTTATCCAAAGTGCCGGGCACAAGGACAGACCCTTTCAGGGTGACAGAGGGTAGATGGAGGGGAAATGGGAAAAGGAGATGGGTGAATGCCTGGGCCGAAATACTATTAACAGGTAATAAGTACCCAGTAATAGGTATATAGGTAACAGTAATAAACTATATGGCGCTGTGGGAGTGAAGAATTGAAAATCGGGTGGGGGGTGCAGAGGTTGGGATTTTAAGGTGGGGGTTGCCCCATCTCTCCGGTGGGAATGGAGCAAAGGTTCGAGGAGTTGAGAATAGGGGCCCATCGATGTCACAGGCCAGTGTCTGAGCTGCAGCAAGGGGTGGCTCGAGTGTAATGGGGCCAAGGGTGCGTGAGCAGAGGGCCATCAACTGGATTTAGGTGTGAACAGGATGGCCGGGCGCCCCAGCTCGCCGCTCTTCCAAGCAAGAGCATGAGCGAGGGTGCAGATGAACAGGGTGCTCTGGTGTGGCAGCCAGGAGCTGGGGCCCAGGCAGGAGAGCAGAGCCCGAGGGGCACCCCAGGGCCTTGCTGTCAGGCATGGGAGCCCCACCCCACGTACTGTCTGTCCCTTGGTCTGCAGGACAACGAGGTGGCTGCCTTGCGGCCACCCCTGGTGCAGCTGCACGAGGGTAACCCCCACCCCCGGTGGGAACTGCCCCCCTCCACTGCACGGCCCTGGCGGGCAGATGACATCCTGGCCAGACCCCCTCGGCTGCTGGACCCCCAGCCCTACCCTGGAGTCCCACACCACGGCTCCTACGTGCACCCCCGGCCAGCCCGCCCCACTGGTGTTCCTGCCCACACCCACCAGGACTTCCATCCAGTGGTGAGTGACCCCAGGGGCTGAGTGCCCACCAGCCCCTGAGCTCTCAGGGAGGGTTCTCCGGGTCCGTGGTGTCCGCCTTTGAAGCCAGTCCTTGCCGTGTCCTGGAGAAGCGGGGCTGACGCATAGGACAGCACTGAGGGTGGAGGCCCCCAGAGCTTCTTCTGCAGAGGTGGCTGGCGAAGCTTGAGGACAGGGACTTGCTTAGGAGGTAGAGGGGTTGGTGTTGCCCCCAGCACACCAGACATCTCTGCCGCCCTGGGCTGAGGGACCCCAGGCTGGTTCTCCAGGGTCCCGGTGGCTGTACTCAGTCCTCACAGGACCGGCCTATGCTCAAACTCACTGCTGTTGCCTATGCAGGGCCCGACAGGAAGAGGGCAGGCAGGGGGGTGGGCAGAATGGCTGGGACTGCTGACCTCGGCTGACCACAGCTGACCACGGCTCTCCTGCAGCTGCACCTGGTTGCACTCAATGGGCCACAGCCTGGTGGCCTACGTGGCATCCGTGGCGCCGACCTCCAGTGCTTCCAGCAGGCGCGTGCTGCGGGTCTGGCGGGCACCTTCCGCGCCTTCTTGTCATCACGCCTACAGGACCTCTACAGCATCGTGCGTCGTGCTGACCGTGCCACTGTGCCCATCGTCAACCTCTGGGTGAGTGCCCTGCCCTGTGCGTGCTGCTTCCGGAGCTGGGATGAGGGACCTGGAGCTCAGGGCTCACTGGGCCAGTCATGCCCAGAGAACCCAGCAAGGCCCCTGTGCCACAGTGCCCTTCGAGTGGCTTTATTTCACGGCTCTTCACACATCGTCGCGTGCTTTTTGGGTGCTCTGGAGCACCAGTATTTCAGGGCCATGGGTGGACTCTCCCCAGACCTGGGGCCCAGGCCTGGTCTGCTAAGGCGCCTGGCCACTGGTCCTCTGGCAGAGAGGGGACTAGAGATGGGCAAACCAGCCTCACTTCCCTTCGCAGGACGAGGAGCTGTTTCCCAGCTGGGAGGCCTTGTTTTCGGGCTCCCGGGGCCAGCTAAAGCCCGGTGCCCGCATCCTCTCCTTCGACGGCAGAGACGTGCTGCAACACCCCGCCTGGTAGGTGCCCTCGTGAGTGCAGCAGCTGGAGGTGGAGGGGCTCTGAGTCTTACAGAGTGCAGGCCTGGCCAGGGACAGGCCCCAACTCTGTACCTGTGTCTCTAGTCTGCTCCTACACCGAGTATGTGCTCACTGTTTAAAACTCACGAGATCCAGAAGAGCATTAAGGCCACAAAGCATTCTCTGTACAAAACAAAAGTCACCAGCCTGCTCCCTGAGCAGGCACCCCACCGCTGCTGTCCCAGACTGGCCAATGGCCAGTGCCCCAGGGGCCTGCCAGGACTACCCGGCTCCCACTATCTGTCATGTAGATTCCACAGTGAGCAATTTCTCCTGCAAATTCCCCAAAGTAGAATTTCCCAGTCGTATGACGTGTGCACTTTGAATACTGGTGACAACTGTCTGTTTGCCCTCACACCCAGCGTTCCTGTGCTTGCCCCGTGTGAGGGGACCTGTTCCCCCAGCGCATGCTCTCAGAACATGGTTCGTGGGTAGGACAAGTGTGTGCCCTGCCCTCACTGAAAAGCACCCAGCCCCGAGGGACCAGTCTTAAGGGTCACAGAGCCAGAAGCAGTGGCAGTCCAAGGGTGGCATCCTTAGTGACTAGGGATGGCGTGACCCCCTGCCACCACATCCAACCACAACCTCAGCCCTTTCCTGCCCGGGGGTGGCCTCCAGCCCAGGGTGGCAGGGCCAGGTGAGACTGACAGCCCGTGTGTCCTGCAGGCCACAGAAGAGTGTGTGGCACGGCTCAGACCCCAGCGGGCGCCGGCTGACTGAGAGCTACTGCGAGACCTGGCGGACTGAGGCCACGACAGCCACGGGCCAGGCCTCCTCGTTGCTGGCAGGCAGGCTATTGGAGCAGAAAGCCGCAAGCTGCCACAATGCCTTCATCGTCCTCTGCATCGAGAACAGCTTCATGACCTCCTCCAGTTAGGGCTTCTGCCAGCTCACACGGATGGATGGACAGATGGCAGGGGGAGTGGAGAAGCCCCCGGTGTCAGGCAGGGAGCGGCAGCAGGCACCCCAGAGGGGTGCTGGGTGTGGGGACCTGGCTGGGACACTTTCCTGTGTGGTTCACATTTCATATAATCCTCCAGAAATAAAAGAAAGCCAAAGAGTGTATTTTTTAAAAAGTTTAAAACAGAAAGGCTGGTGCCAACTCTTTGTCCTGCCATGCCCCTCCCGTGCCCCAGCTGGCGTGGCCCGGTCATGCAGGGCGCTGTCGTCAGGTCAGACCAGGGGCCCCACTGGGCCCTGTTTTCTTGCCACCTCCAGCACTCACTGCCCTGGGGAGGTACATGTGACCCGGGCTCCCTGTGGGTTTTTCAGTTGCCCCATGCAGGTGCTCACCCAGTTCCTGCCTAGAACCCTTTCTGGTGTGCAAAACCCAGATCTGCCTGCGGACCAGCCATGGCCTCCCCATCCCTTCTCTACCTGGTGCAGTGGCTATGCCAGCTACAGAGGAGGGCACTCCCAGCTGGCCAACAGGACCACTCAGGCCTCGGGTGCCAGGGGTGACCATCTCCCCTTGGCCTCTCGCAGCAATACCCCACTTCCACTGGAGCAGTTCCCAAACTCTGTCCCCTTGCTGACCCTGGGTCCTGGCTCCTGTTGTATGTGCAGTGGTCTGTGCATCCCTTTTTCACTGGAGCCAGCCTTGCACCTTGGGGTCTCTGTCCCATGATGGCTTCCCAAGTGACCTGTGAGGTCACAGAGTACAGGGCTTGACCCAGCCATGGCTGTGCTGGGTGTTTTGAGGGTTCCACAAACCAGGCTATGACAGCACCCCCTGGCCCAGCCCAGTCCCACACCCAGCATCCCCTTTCTGGAGTGAGAATTCCCGACGCCCAACAGGCCCTGCTCTGCCTGGGAGTGTGCACTAGGACACCACTTCCCGTCCCTGGCCAGACTGCTGGCTGCTGAGCCCTGAATGGAGCCTGGAGGGGATTGCGGTTGGGGCAGGACAGGACTGGACCGTGTCCACAAACCAGCTGTGGGGTGAGGCCACATGCTTTGCCCTGCTCCCCACTGTCTGCAACAATGCGTCTCCAAGTTCATGTCAGTCCCTGTGGGAGGGCTTTGGGTCTCTTGGGGAGCTGGTGGGTGTCCCTCTGGTGGCCATTCTGGGAGGTGTGGCAGGCCAGAGCCCAACCCCCTCAAGGTCTGCTGTCCATGTACTGCGACCATGAAATGAGCTGGTCCTGATGACTGACGTGGTTCTGAACAGGCTCCAAATAAGAATGACCATGTGCACAGACACTTTGCAGGCAGCCTTCACTGTCCTGAGACCAGTTCTCAGGGTCCTCTGTCCCCATACACCCAGCAGGCAGACCCTGAGGGAGCCCGGAAGTGCAGTGTGCAGGTACACACAGCTGCACATGGGTGTGCATGGAAGTCCCCGAGTGTACAGAGGTGCTGGGTGTACGTGACCATTCTCCTCTCAGGTCTCCCTGGGGCAGCAGCCTTCCCAGGCCTGTGTGGGGGTGGGGGGAGCTCTGCCCTGGGTCCCCACCCCTGGCACTGTACTCTCTCCACAGCTGCTGCAGCTGGCCAGGTTCCAGGAGGTGTCTGGCTCCGAGGGGCTGTGCACACTGCACAGAGCAGGACCTCACTTGTGCCCCAGGAGCAAATGCCACCCTGCTCTGGTGGCCAAGGGGTTTAGGATCAGCAAAGGAGGTTCTGGGAGCTTGGAGGCGGGATCTGAGCCATGCAGTGCACATGGAGAGGCTGCAGAGGGAGCAGTTGGTCTAGCTGCTGAGGATGTGTGGGCAGCAGGGGAAGTGCATCCCAGGGGTCAGTGACCAGAGGTAAGACCCCATACTCCCCAACCAACCCATGAAGTCCCACTCCATCTCCAAACATAAAAGCAAAACAGTGCTGTCCCTTCCCAGCAGGGTTGGGGTGGGGGCAGCCTGTGTGGACATGCCTGGGTACCAATCTACCAGCCTGACCCACACCATCAGCTGTAACTTGGGCCACCCCCTGTGCACCCTCCTCCTCAGTGCTCAGGGCACCCAAAGTGCCCCACTCAGCCAGCAGTGTGTTCCGGACTCTCCGTGCTGAGCTGCCCTGCCTTGCATGAGAATAGAGGGACATGGGAAGGGCAGCATCAAGGACACGGTGGGCCCTGGTTAGGTCTCTTCCTGCCTGGTGGCAGGGGCTGGGCCCTTCTCAGTCTCCCAGTGGATGCCAGTACAACGCCCCCCCCCCAGGCCAGCTTGGAATTGGGAACCCCTCACGCTCAGGCCATGTGGTTTGTTTAATGTATTTCAGGTCTCATCTCCAGCAGCACCACTGGTTCCCAGAGCCCCAGGTGGCGTGTCCTTCAGGCTGGTGTGTGAGCAGCCCCAGTGGTCCTCTGTCACCCATGAAGCAGGCCAGTGTTCGTCCACCTCAGGAAGGGAGAAGATGACAAGGGCCTGGGGCAAAGGAAGAGCTGGCTCCCAAAGACACCAGCACCCCCGCTTCCCTCTAACAGGGAAACGCCTGCCTGCCCCGCACCCAGCTTTGCCCACAGAAACAGAAGCCCAGTGAGGTTTCTTGTTTATGCCAGTTAAAAAAAAAACAAAACACAGCATTGTTTACCATTCAATCACCTGAACGTCTAGAAATGTGACCGCCTAGCCACGAGCCCTGAGAATCTGGGCTACCATCCTCACCCTACAGGGCCCACGACATCCTACAGGGGCTTATGTCCCCTGGACTGGCATCTGGGAGCACTTCATGGGACCCTGCCTCCCAGGGGGGTGAAGGTGGGGAGGCCTGGCGGGCACATGGGACCGTCCCAGCAGCCCTGTGTAGGCAGGGGCACAACCCAGTCTTCAGTGATCAGGCAGTTGTGTCCTCAGCAGGCTATGGAGCACGGGCAGACTGTGAAGCCCGAGGAGCACAGGACTCAGGGACACTGCAGGACAAGCGAAGGCACCTCTGGCTGAGGCAGGTAGCCCTCAAGGTGTGTGTCATGGGCAGAGCACCCAGGAGCCCCATCGGTCATTGGTTGCATAGTCTGAACAACGGAATCCAAACAACACCAGAAACTCTTCCTGGTTTCAAGAGGATGGCCAGCCTGCCAGGGATGTGACAGTTCTGAGATGTCAAGGCTCCAGGCTCAGTGAGAATGTTGGAAGATGCAGAGCAGGTGGCCTCTGGTGTCAGGAATCCAGCCACGCACTGGGCTGGGCAGACAGAACAGGCCAGCTCAGGCCTTGGCCTCAGGCAGGTCCCTTGAGTCAGGCAGTTCCCTCGAGACTGGCCCTTTGGCCCATGTGCTGTCCTCCTGGGCCAGGGTAGTGGCTTCGGGCTGCAGGTTGCTGAGGGCCCCATCCTGCATGTTCAATGCCTGGAGGTCCTTCTCCTTCAAGGGGCTATTTAGCTCCTGGGCCAGGGGCACGGGCTGGTGGCGGTCCTGCTGGAAGTGCCACAGGATCCCCAGTGCAGCCGCCAAGAAGTAGGCAACGGACAGCAGCACGAAGTACACAAAGTAGACGAGGAACTGGAACAGAGAGCCATGCAGGGAGGTAAGGAGCAGCCTGGGAGGGGACGGGGCTTTGCTGAGGGGAAGAGAAAGAGGGGGGACAGGGAGGGGCAGTCAGGGGTCCTCCCTCTCCCTCCTCCTGCTCAGGGGCCACGGGAACCCTGCTAGGGTGGGATGGGCACCCAGGGGGCAGAGGCCAATTCACACTGTGAGACTGAGCAGGCCTCGCAGTGTGAAAGTCCTCCCGACCACGCCACACACAGCACCGTGGGGGGTGGGGGAGGCTCCCACCACTTGCTTGCAGAACCTCGGCACTTTTGCTGCCTCTGTGATCTACTCCCAGGTGCTCTGCTCATTTTACGGGACCACGCATGTGCACTTGGCCCCATGGGGAGAGTCCCCGCACTGCGGAGGGCTTGCAGACAGCCCTGCCAGCAGTGGGGCCCTGCCAAGGACAGGCAGCCTGAGACCTGGGCAGCCCCAGGTGAGCCAGTGGCCGCCCTGGTGACAGGAAGAGCTGCACAGCAGTGACACAAAGGGAGGCACATGCAGCCCACGAAGATGCCCCTCTTGATTATGACCTCCACCACGGAGACGGGCAGTCTCCAGGCGTCTGGGGCCAGACCAGGCCCGAGCCCCTCCTGGAGCCCCTTATGGCACCAGCACCCCAGCCCTTCCAGGAAACCTGCTCATTGCAGAAGTAAAGCAGGAGGGACACTGTGGAGGACTCTGCTCCCGGGAGGATGGCGCCGCGTGTTTCCCATATACTTCCCCAGTATGACTGAATGGCTGCATCCCTGGGACACATAAGGCAGTGACTCGGAAGAGCAGGGACAGCCCAGTAGGGACCCAGGGCCTGAGGCACAGCACAGTGATGTACAATGGGTCCTGGGCTTTGTTTACTTTTTGCTGCAGGTGTTTTGAAATCAAAGAAGCCTGCAATCTAGAAATGGCAACACATGTAGAAAAAGAGTCCCCAGAAAGCTGCTCTCTCTGCCAGAGGACCGGGACAGGGACAGCCCAGTAAGACAGGAAGTGACAGATGAAACAGCCCCGCTCAGCTAGACCCACCCTCATTACCCAGGCCTGCCCCACAGGGTGGCATTGCTCAAGGCCCAGTGGGGAGCCGCAAAATTCACCCCACGGAAACCGAAGGGAAAGTGTGGACCTTTACTCCTACCAGGTGGTAATGACCCTTGACCCTGCTCCTGTGGACTCAGGAATTTCACCCCCCACCCAGCAGTAGCAAGAACACCACACCCCATATTCAAACTTCTGAAAGCTCAAGACAAAAAGAAAACAAAAACACAAAAACCCTTGAATGTAGCCACTTAACAAAAACTGACACCTTAGGGGAAAACAATGAGAGTGACAGGATTTTTCATCACAAACCAGGAAGGCCACAGGAAGCGGCACATTTTCCACATGCTGAAAAAAAACTGTCAGCCCAGAAGCCTCGATCTTCAGGAATATCTGTCTTTAGGGATAAAAAGGAAATCCAGACATTCTCAGATTAAAAAGAAAACAAACCTAAGCGAGGATTTTGTCACAAGCAGACCTGCCCTAGAACAGTGGCTAAAGGAGGGTCTCTTAACTGGACAGGAATGGAGAAGACAGCCCCTTGTGCAACAGGAAGGAGAAAACAGCGAGCAAAATCGTGTAGTGGGCGTAGATTGTGGTCGTCAGGGGTAGGGGAGGAGGGGTGGGAGTCAGGGGGCGGGGCCGTGAAAGGGCAGCTGGAGGGAACCTTCTTGAGAACCACAGGACGTGACCAGTGGGGCAACTGGAAGCGAAGTCCGTGCATGGGTCTCGGCATTACCTCGCACACTGTGTGGATGAAAGTTTCCCAAAAGTTGAGAGTTTACTTTCGATAAACGAGCACACACACCCAGGCCAGCTCCAGGCCACTGGCCCCACTGGCCCCAGTCGCTGTGTCTTCTCTGGGCCTGAACATCTGCCCGTTGTCACGGCTCAGGATGGATAGAGCCGTGAACACACAGGAGAGAAGGGTTGGCTGGAAGGACTGTCCTCAGGAACCCCATCAGCATTTCCAATTACGAACAAAATGCCCCACTTCTAGAGTTACTTTTTAACTCAGAAATAGTTCAATCAATGTATTACTCTTGATCTGACCCAATGGAGAGAAGCCAAGTGGGAGGGGCTGGCACAAGGACCATTGGGGACAGCCCCATCCTTGGGAAGACTCTTCGGGCCCTTCCTACCCAGTCTCAGGACGCTCCAAGGCCACACTACAAAGCAGGGACAGCTGAGGGCTCCAGGGACAGGGAGGGGCTCCTCCAGGTGCTGGGGCTCCCTGCAGGCCAGCTGGTCAGCTGCCACCAGGCAAGGCTCCATGAAAGGGCCCAGGACCGAGGGTGCTGCCCCTGCAGAGACAGCCTCAACAGGGGAGGCTTCCCCTGGGTGGTGAGGGACAGCATCAGCGAAGGAGGCTCTCAACCCACCCATCCCTGGGCACAGGCACCTGTGGACCAGAGTCCTGCTGGGCCACGGGGGACTTTGCCAACCCTGCTCAGGGTGGGCAGTGCCGTGTTCAGCCTGGGGGGACTGGGAGGTGGGCAGTGTGCCTGGAGGCCCCCCAGAAGCAGGGTCGAGACCCAACTGCCTGTGTGGACATGAAGCGTGAGAAACTCTGATGGTCTTCACCTAAAGGGCACTTCCAAACCCCACCCAGAAGGCCCGTTTCCATAGGAGGGTCTGTCCCACCTGCATCGCCTCCCTGGCCAGCTGTGCAGCCGTGAGGTGATAATGACCCAGCACGCTCACACAGTGTCAGGACGTCTCACGGAGCCCACCAGGCCCAACAGACCCCCCACCCAGTGAGGCCCTGGCTCCACACAGGAGGAGGCTGCGTCCCCGCGGGCCGGTTACTGAAGACCCCAGTTTCAGCCCTCCCGCCAGCCCATCCTCCGGCTGACCCAGCTCGCTCAGAGAGGCCCTGCCTTGGCTGAGGACACAGGAGTAACACGTGAGTGTTCTCCCCCTCACAGCAGATGTGAGAGTCACATGTGCGAGTGTCCCCCACCTCACAGAGGACAGACATTCCCAAGCTCTTCCCAGAAGCACCAAGAACTGGCCTAGGGTCAGATGAAGAGGGGCCGGCAGGCTCCAGTGGCCACCCCGCCTGCTCTACTTCCATCCGTCCTCTGTAAAGAAGACAAAGAGCTGTCACGTGAGTGAGGGCCTGGGTCTAACAGGCCTTGACGTCATAGGCAGAGACCTGAAATGAGGGTGGTAACCCCTGGCAACACAGGGAAATGGCCCACAGTGCGCCTCCATCCTTGCCGGGCCATCAGCCATTGTAGGTGGTGCCCAGGGCCTGGAAGACCTCCATAGATGACCTGCGCCCAGGCCCAAATCAGAGGCCCCACAGTTCCAACTGGAGTTGGCTGCGCCCCACCCAGACATGGGCGGCATTACAGCCCTGACCTGGGCCCCAAACGGGAACAGTGCATGTCAGCACAGCAGTTGCCAGGTCATGGTCCCCTGGCACTGGTCCTCTGACCCCTCCCTCCTTGATCTGGGCCCCTCGCTTCATGGTCCTGCCGCGACTCAGCAAGCCCAGAGTGTCCAGCTAGAAATGCCCAGCCCACGCTGTGCATGCTCCCTGTGCTTTTTGGGTCTGTGGGCTGGGTCCCATGGAGGGGACAGTGCTGCTGGTTGGGTGGCCACCAGGAGGCCCTGGTCCAGACATCCCTCCAAAGTCCCCACTCCCCAAGGAAGCAAGCCCAAATGGGGGCTCACCTGTAAGCGGACCGAGAATCCCAGGCCCCGCTTGTCAGAAACGATGAAGGTGATGATGGTCTTGAGAATGGTGGCAAAAAACGTGTTGACTCCAAAGACCAAGGCACAGAGCTCCTTAGAAAGAGAAGACGCGATCTGAAAACTTAACGGGAAAGCAGGCACAGATCAGCCTCAGCGGGCAGGGACAAGAAGTGCCCGCAATACAAAGAGGAAACCCTGGGCTGCCAGGGGCTGCCAGAAACAGCCATGTGGTCTGCTGATTGGCCTTGCCCACTAAGGCCACTGGAGACCAGCAGCACCAGCCCAGAACCCAGGCTGCCCACTGCCTCCTCCCTCAGTGACTCAGAATGAATGCGACACAATGACAAATGCAACATGGGAAGGCACGGTCTCCTAGTAACCCTGACAGAGCGAATCATAGTCACTGCAGCACGCTCAGAAAATCGTCCTTGGGAGAATGGGCAGAGCGTCATGAGGAAAAGTCTGGAATGAAAGTCTTTAATGATTTTAAAGTCATTACATGATTCAATAAATCGGGAAGAACAGGTAGACAAATAAGGGGGTCAGAAGGAAGTACTGTGCTCAGAGCTCCTGGCCCTCTGCAAAGAAGTTAACATTTGAACGCACTTCCCATCAGAATCCCCGAAGTGCCTTTAAAAATAAGGACTAGCCCCGGCCAGGGTGGCTCAGTTGGTTGGAGTGTGACCCCAAAACCGAAAGGGTCAGAGTTCACTCCCCAGCTGGGCACGTACAGTTCCTCTTTCTCTCCCTTCCTCTTTCTCTAAAAAAAAAAAGTCCTCAGGTGAGGATGAAAAAAATATATATATAATAATGACTAAATTAGAACTATTCTAAAGTCTGGAAGATATAACAAACAAAAACACCCAAGAAGTCCTTAAAGAGAATGCCCGAAGCCAAGGGCCTTCTGCTGTACTGGGGTCCAGGAGCAAGAAATGTGTGAAATGCCAGAACAAGCAACAACATGACGAGGAAGGACTACATACAGACGGAGACAAGACCATGTCAGTCAAACGTCTGGAGGACACACTGGCTCCTGGCAAACTGGAGCTGGGTCAGGCCCCGCCAGCACAGCTAATGCCATGCCATCTGCACAAGTGTTTCACGTGGTGCGCTGTAAACTCCGTAAGTAGGGTTAAAGGCAAAGCATAACACATGTGGTTAGAGGCTCCCATCACTTGGAAGATATAAGTGTACTATGGGTAAATAAGGAAAAGATGAATCCCAGCAGAAAGTCCACAGCTATGAAGTGGTGCTAACACCAGGGAGGGGGCAGCGTGCTAGCTCCACAGCATCTGCAGTATCACCCGACACCCCTTCGTTGGCTCTCATGCCCTTTGACCTAGCCAGTCTCTTCCTGAGAACACCTGAGGCCATTATCAGAATTGGAAAGAAAAATGCAGGTTGAGAGGATATTGAGCTCATTGTTGGCTGTCATAGCAAAGTACTGGAGACAGCATCCCCATCAGCTGGGGACTAGCCATGCGACATCACTTATCACCAAGAAGACCAAATATACCTGCATTTTGGACAGCTGAACGAGAAGGTTGTCTTCTCACAGGAGTGTGGTCAGGGTGCCTGCCGACATTGGCCCCGAGGAGCAGGGCAGGAAAGACACTGGGTTTGGTCCAGGCTCTCGGAGCCCAGGGCAGGTGCAGCTGAAAGTGTGGGCTCAGGGGATGGAGGCCACTGTCTTAGCTCAAGAAAAGGTAAGGCCAGGTGTTCTAACATGGGCGTGACTGGAAGGAGGAGAGGACTGGAGGTGCCCCATACCGGGAATTGGGCAGGACTGTGGTGACACACCTGCGAGGTGCAGGAGGTGCAGGGAGGTAGTCTCCTGTGTGCCTGTGGGGTGTGGGCACACGTGCAGCTTTGCGAAAGGTCAGTTCAAAGGAGCACCGAGGGTCTTAGATACAAGCAGAACTCGGTGGGGAAAAGTTCTGGAAAGCACAGGCAAGATGGGCAACAGCTCCCAGGATGTCCCTGGGCAGGTGCAGGGAAGTCTGTAGGGGTGTAAGAAACGGGAGCATCAGGGGAACCCTGGGCAGAAGGTGAGCTGGCACCCTCGGTCACTCCTTGGCCAGGAGCTGCCATTCCCCACAGTGGGGAAAGGGGCATGTGAAAGGCCACAGGGCTACGGAAGATGGGACCGCAGCAGCACTCAGGGCCAGGGAAACAGGGCAGGGAGGCTGGGAGGAAAATCTTCACAAGGACCAGTCCCTGTCCTCAAGTGGCCTCAGTGGGAGGAGCAGAGAATATGTCACATAGGAAGGCTCCTTGCTGAGCTTAGGGTCATAGCAGGCAGCTGGAACTGACATGCTGGGGACAAGGGGACAATTGGGCCCCTGGCTAAAGCTGTCCAGGGTTCACCACTCCTCCCACCATCAAACTTGCTTCACACTGTTGGGCACATACCCCTTCTACTCCTCACAGAACATTCTGGAAGGGAGGCCTGTCAATACACACAGACAGCCCCTCAGTCCCCACCCTGAAGGCGGGTGGTGCATGGCCCTCCAGCGGCCATCTGTCCACCTGGCCCCCAGGGCCTTTAGTGGCTACCTGAGCCAATGGCCACTTGTCCACCCCACACAGCCCAACTCACGTGGCGATAGGCACCAGGAACTGGTAGGAGCCTCGGAAGAGCACGAAGGCCACGTAGCACAGGCTGATGCTGTTCGTGCGGTGCATGAGGAAGACCAGCCCAGCCTGCAACCCTGTCACAACTCCGATGACCAGCTTTGCCCACAGGGCCCAGCGGATCTTCACAAAGCCTGCTGCAAAGGAGGTGATGGCACCTGGGGAGACAGGACAGCCATTGTCATCCTCCTGGGGTGGGTGGGGCAGGTGGGGCAGGTAGGGACAGCTGCACATACCTAGCAGAGTAGAGGCGGCATCCACCCCACCGTTGTAGACCTTGGTGTTGTCTGTAGTGGGCTCAACAACATTCCACAGGATGTGCACATAGTAGACAATTAGGTAGTAGCCAGCTGAGTTAAAGACCCACCAGAGGGACCAGAGGCGCAGCTGTGGCAGCCGCAGGCTGTTCCCCAGCTCCCGGAGCATGCGCACGAGGGTCCAGTCCCACCAGGCCGCTAGCAGCGTTCTGCCCAGCTTTCTGCCCTCGGGCCCATCAAGGCCCGGGTGCATCTGGTCCAGCTCCGAGGGTGAGGCCCCACCGTGTGTGGCTTCACTGCGGTTGAAAAACAGGCTGCGTTTGGGGCGCTTCAGGAAGATCGTGAGGACCAGGGTGAAGGTAAGGAAGGCCAGTGAGAGGCGGTTGAGCGTGATGAAGGAGACTCTGCCCACGGTGATGAGCAGCTGGCCCAGCACGGAGCTGGCGAAGACGCCCAGCAGCACTGCAGCCCTGGAGTAGCCGGCCATACGCTGATAACGGGCAGGGTGCACGAGTGAGAAGATGTAGGAGGAGTAGGCGATGCGGGCAGCCATGGTGAGGCTGAAGAAGAACTCCATGAACTGCATGTGCAGCACAGAGTGGCCATACAGCAGCAGCAGCCACACAGAAATGTAGCTCAGGCTCTGCAGGAGCAGCACTGGCTTGTAGCGCAGGTAGTCCGTCAGTAGGAAGACGGGCACCAGCACTGCCAGGTAGGAGTAGGACAGCACCGGCGTGATCTCGTTGGTGACCTGCAGGATGGCAGGCTCGTGACCCCACGCAGCTCGGCACTACAGCCACCAGTCGGGCCCTTTGGTAGTGCCTCCCCACCCCGAACCACAATGTGAGCACGACTGTCTGCTAACACCAGCACAGGTAGCCCTCAGCCCCGAGGCTAGCGTGCTCTGAGGAGGACACACTGTACAGATGGAAACCAAGGGCCAGAGTAGGGCCCTGGTCAGCATGTAGGGCTCTCCTGGAGGCTGGTTGGACTCACTCCCTCCAGCTCCTCTACCCAGTTTCTACAGCCCTGGATCTGCCCACCCAGATGTGCTGCTGAGCCAGCAGGAGCAGCACATCCAAGCCTGGGCTCAGGACCCCAGAATGGACTTGCATGCTGACAAGCCTCCAGGGGCTCAGGGGGACGCTGTCAGGAGGCCCTCACTGAAGCTCTGTGCCTGGCAGCCTCCTGAACCCACATGCCCATGGGAGGCCAAGGCTGACCCTGAAGACTGTGGTCCCTGAAACACCGAGCAGTGAAGGTCCCCCACGACATTCCTGGTGCAAGTCAGTCCCCAAGGGGAGCTGAATAGCCTGTGTTTGGTCTCTGACAGCCACGGCCCAGTTACAGCTATCCAGGCCAAGTTTATGGAAAATTCTGGGAACATCAAACAGTCCCTCCTTGATGAGACCTATGGCAGACAGATGACTTGGTCATAGCCCCAGGGGTGGGGTGGGGTCAGAGAAGAGGACCTGCTGGTGTTTCTCATCTCCTCCCCACCCCCCACCCCTGCAGATGATACTGTCCACCAAGGGGCCATGTGCCTGGAAGTCCAAAAAGTCCCTGGGGCAGATGGTGTCTGTCAAGAGACCCAGCACCAGCAAGAGAGCAGCCTCCTACCGGCCTGAGCCAAGTTCCCAGATGTGTTCCCAGAGGAAAGGAAGGCGGCCAAGACACACGCCGAGGCAGATACTGAAGGGACACGGCCAGCAGCTATCAGATGGGCAGAGGGTCAACGAGGCAAGAGGGAAACCGAAAGCTGCGGCCACAGGCAGAGGGCGCGGGTGTCGGGGACAATAAAGCAGAGTCCCTTGGGGATGACAAACTGAGCACAGAGGCACCGGGTCACTCTGTGGTTGAATCCCCTTGGGTGTGACTTAGGTAGGACCATCTTTGACCTACATGGGCCCGGCAGCCCCGGCTCACACGTGCCCCCCAGATATAAGCCTACTGCCTCTCTGATGACACCCCAGCTCGGTGGAATGGCTTCATTTCTGGAAGGTACTATATATTCAGCTCACATGCAACCTGAGAGAGCAGATGAATGACACAACATTTTTGCTATAGAGACTTTTCCTGTTAACAGAGCTTCACGTACATGGTTCCTGTAATCACCACAGCAGACAATGCCACCCCCCCCAAGATCAGATCAGTGTTCTGAGGAAAGAGAGCCCTCCAGGTGACCCATGAGTGGGGGATGTGAAGGACTGGTTACTCAGAGGGGCCCCCAGAGGGTTTGGGAGGCACGGGCCCCAGACCCAGCCTCTCTGCCCAGCCTCACCTGGGAAGTGACCAGCTCCAGCAGTGAGCACTGGCCGTGGGATCAGACACAGCGACAGACAAGCAGGGCTCCCAGTTCGTGTGGGCCAGTATGCGGTCATTTCTATCTTTTCAAGATGGTTACTTGGAGGAGAGAGGCCACGTTTGCACAGCCACCATATTTGACTTAAACTATTTGAGTGTCTGTAAGAGGTGGAGGCCGAGCTCCAGGCCAGGGAGAGGCAGGGGCTTCCTGAAGAAGCGAAGGGCACCCCGGGACCCAGGAGAGTCCAGGAGGGCGGGGAGGCTGGTGGCCACACCGAAGGGCAGCAGAGGCTGGGGGGAGCAGGTGAGCAGCCCGGGACCAGCTGGGGGGTCTTCAGGTGGACGAGCAGGGTGATGGCCAGAGCTTGGACGGGGGCCCTGGCTGTGCACCTCACCCACCAACAGCCTGAGTTTCTTCCTTTTATTTTACGGCAAAGGGAACAGCAACCGTGGGAGGGGAGCACCAGGGCTGGAGCCGGTCCCGCCTCATTCCCTACCACCAGGGTGCCTTCTGGTATAAGCTTCCGAGTCAGGTTTCAAGGAGATCCTTTGTCCTCCTTGCTGAGTAAAGAAAAATTCCTTCCGTAATCTCTTTAGGCAAATGGCTGCAGAGTCCCTGCTGGAAGCGGGTGGGCCACTCTCACCCCCTGGCGAGACTGGCAGCAGCCCTGGACCTCCTGTGGCCAGAGTCGCTCTTCCACTGGTCTGGTTAAAAGCGAGAGGCAGGCCCCTCAGTGCCCCAAGAGGGACTGGGGACAGGACCCGGGATACCACCGGGGTCGAGTAACCTCAACAGCCCCAGCTGCTTCCCCATCCACGGGGTGCCCCTGCTCACTCTACCCCTTATTTACAGGCCAGGCCCATCCCACCCCGACCCAGCCCACGTGCCTGCGTCCGCGTGAAGTTCATGTCAGGGCCCAGGAGGTAGGGGGTGATGAAGCTCTCCCCAGGCCGCATCTGCGCCATGAAGCCGTAGAAGCAGAGGAAGAACACCAGGCACTGCCAGGACTGAAGCTTGTGGCCCAGCCCAGGCTCCGGCCCGGGCTCTGGCTGGGGCTCCAGGGGCACCGGCTTCTCCACGGACTGGCTGGAGGTTGCCATGCTGCCCAGGCCCCACGTGGCCCTGGAGAGACTGGAGGTAATGCTGCCCCTGGAGGGAAGGACAGAGAGTCAGGGCCGACCCGCAGCCCAGGGACGCCTCCCCTCCTCCCCGGAGCTCAGCGGAACCATATCTCACTCAGTCAGGACTCCACACCCACATGGAGCTGGGGAGGAGAGCCCACAGGTCTCAGCCCCCCCGGGGCTTGTGACAATCCAGACACTATATTCACCGGGACTTTGCTATCACCACCTCCAAGGAGTATCCAGGGCTTCCCGGTCCTGTACGGCAACCACCAGCCCGGTGGGGCTCCTTCGATGTTAACTAAAACTAGATGCAATTTAAAATCCAGTTCCCCAAGCACACCACCCATTTCAACTGCTCATAACCGGTGGGCTGGGCACACACCCTTCCCATGAGAGGTCTCGGGGACAGCCTGCCCTTGCTGTCCCATTGGCCTCTGGGGGGACACTGTGCACAAAAACTGGGGGATGGGCAGTTGGGGTTTATAGGAAGAACCCAGAGTAGGAGGGGGAGACAAAAGGAGAAGCAGGAGCCAGAGAGTGGTGTGACTGGGCAAGGGGGACAGACGGAGCTCCAGACTGCATCATGAGCTGAGGGTGGGTGGCCTCACCCGGGGGCACTTTGGGTGGTGCCTGTGTTTGGTGTGGGGGTGACAGTACTATTTCTATGCCCACTAATTGCCCTTTCTAACAGAGAGGGGCAGATAATCATGTCTAGTTATCGGAATGCAAAGTAATCTGCTGTTTGTTTTTATTACCACTTCTGTATATGCTACATGTTATTGGTTTTCCATGAAGGCATGGATACAAAGTTCACTTTTAAGAGAGGTTCAAAAACCAAGCTGCCCTGAAAACTGTGTCAGGTGGGGACACACTGGGTGGAGATGGGGGCAGGGCTGAGAGACGTCAGGACAGCTCTGTGCACCTTAATGCACAGCCTCTCGGAGGGTGACTGCAGAGGGTCTGGATTCGGGGAGAAATTCCTGCCGATTCCCAAGCAGTGGACACTAAAAATTCCCAAGATGCGGGAGCTGGTGCTCTGGAAAAGCCACCAGGTTCTGGGCACTCGATCCAGCCTGCCGCACAGAGACCATCCAAGAAGGAAACGTTTGCACACTCCTCCCTGGATGAGGCTCAAGACAACCGGATGAGCTCAGAGACCCCCCAGGGGCCACCAAGGGCAGAGAGAGACTTCGAGCCAGACCTCTGATCACTCTGCACCGGCCTAGGGCCTCCGCAAAGGGGACCATGGTTGGATGCGTGTGATTCCTCCACCTTCTTAGCCCCCATATTTATTTCTGTGGCTCAGGAAAATGAGAGCAGGGGACCATAATGAAACGTCTCAAGAAACCAGGCCTGGTGGGTTTGTTTGTGGGGCCACAAGGTAAGGCAGGGTGGGGGCAAGGGGCAGCTTCGGGAATTCCAGAAAATTTCAAAGGGAGGTGGTGAAGGGGGTAACAGTGGCCTGAGAGTTACAGGGCCCTGGGACGACCCCCCACCATTTCAAGGAGCCGAATGAAACAATCAGCCAGGCAAGGGAGCACGGGGAACCTGGCCTTCTCCCCCGGCAGCCCAGATTTGGCACCTGCGACTTCTGGAAAGAGCACATGGGCCATACAGGCCATTCAGGCTGCTTTTCCAACCCCCCTGGAGCTTGCACACAAACAGATGAGGGGGCTTGGCCCCTTCAACAGAGGGGACAGCCCCAGACCAGGAGGCGTACCACAGGCAGAGCTGTCCGCCTCGGGGTAGACACACTACCAGGGATCCCATTCCAGTCCCAGGACAGCCCTCAGTTCACTTTCCCACTCCTAGTGCTCTGCTCCCTGGAAACCAGAGCAACCGACTCACCTACCCCAGCAGCGGGCATAGGGCAAACAGCCAAGAATTTAAGCCCAGGGTCCCCAGGAGTGGGGTCCCCACCTTTCCTTTCCCCCAAGGGTCCCCAGGAGCCCTGTACTTGTCCATCCTGTCATCTCCAGAAGCAATGGGAACCTTCCTACCTGCGGTACCCGGATCCTGGGGCAATGGCAGCAGTCTCAGACACCAGTGCCCCAGCACTCATGGTTTCATTTCTACATCCTGCATGCTTACAGCTTCTGAAACCACCAGGCAGTGCTTCTTAAACCACAGAAGAGCACACCATAAAACAAGCTCTGGGTCCCACCGTACGGGGCTGTCTGAAAGTCTGCGCCTGGCTCAGGACTCTGCACCTTACCACGTGCCACAGGCATGCCCATCGGCAACCAAAGTGAGCAAGCCCAGGAGACACTGTGCCAGGACTCCTGGCTGGTCTGCACAAGCTCACCCCCTGGACATCCAGTATCCAGGCTTCAGGGCAAACCCATCCTCAACCACCCAGTTCTCCAGGGCCACAACACAAGTGAACCAGCCACACTCCCCGGAAGGATGAACATGCAAGGCACCACCCCAGGTGATGGCCAGGGATCCCCCAACATGGATGGAGGTCACAGAGTAGGAGAGTGTCTACAGATACCTGGGGTCCAGGGCAGGAGAGATGGGGTTCATGCGGGCCTCTCCTGGTGGCACCCGAGGCTGCCTCCTCATCCAACAGGCTCTGTCTCAGGGCTGACCCACCCAGCAATCTGACCTCACAGGCTGCTCCCCAGCTCCACCCCTGAAATCTGGGGACACTGCCCAGGGCAGGGCTCAACCTGCTGGGCCTCATAACTACCACAGTCCCTCACCTTGCTCCTGAGGTGCATAACAGGTGCCAGCACTGTCATGCAGTGCAAGCCACCATGCCTCCAGGCTGAGGCAAGACGAACTAAAGGGATGCCCCGGGGACTCCATGTGTGGGACAGTTAGTGATTACATTTCTTTGAACTAAAGGCCCGCCCTGGAACTGAGGCGTGTGTCCCCTATGGAATGTGCCTCTCTCCTGTGCATTTCCCACACTATGCTCTGCACTGTTGTGCACACACTTTCAAAAACTTATGAAAAAGATGAGGGCTGGATGGCTAGGCAACTTCAAAGAGAGCTGGGCAGGACAGGGTCATGAGAAGGAGCAGAGGCCAAAAACCCAGGGTCTTATCTGAAATCCATTCTTAGCGATGGAAAAAATGTGGAGCACCCCAGGGCCGGAACATGTTTACAAAGCAGATTCCCAGACCAGAGCACAGCAGGCAGCTTGGCCATTACTCAGTACGTCCAGGAGGGAAGGCCACTTCAGGTTCAAAAGAAAGAGCTGACTCAGAAGCCAGGGCCCTCAGCTACCGAGGCTGGGCCCTGCCATCCGGGGTGGGGTCTGCCTGCCTGAAGTCTCATTCTGTCCATTTACTCAGCTCATGTGGGCGTGATCACCAATGGTGGCAGGCAGCCAGCATCCCAGGTAAGACTCAAAGTCCTTGGCCTGGAAGGCACAGGCTTCTCTTTTCCACGCTGGCCCGGCCCATCTTGGGCTCCAGGAAGAGGAGGGGGAAGGACACAGCACAGAAACAGGCAGAGAAGGCAAGTGAGGCGACCGAGCTCGGGATCAGTGGGCAACAGGCCGGGGCCAGGCCTGGACCCCACGTGTGCTGACCCCAGCCCAGCCCCATGCAACTTCAGGCCTCTTCAGGGCCAGCTGGAGAATCATGGGGTGGCCTCCCCCAAAGACCTGTTCATCTGCTTCAGAAGGCTCCTACAGTTCCCCCTCAGACCCCTCCTGCACCTGCCCTGGGGGGCGTGTGGAGCACTAGCAGTTTCCCCTGGCTCTGTCCTCCCAGCCCCACAGAGACCCAAGCAAACACTGCCTCTCCCGTGTCATATTTCAAACCAGCTACTACTCTCCCAGGTTACCAGGGAGGTTTCTTAGATTTTAAAAACACCTGCTGGTAAAAAAAAAAAAAACCTTTGTACCCCTGCCCCACATCACATGATACAGTTGTAAAATTAGCCACCCTGGCCACCCATGCTACAGACACCCAACTCACAAGTTTAAAACACCCTGGAGGTATTGGTCATCTTTGCCCAGCACAAATAACTAATATTTGAGGTTATATTAAATCCACCGAGGCAATAAGCAGGGCCAACAAGTGGACGAAGATGAAGGGATGCAGTCCAACAGACACAGCACCATCTGGAAACCCAGGGAGTGGATTCTGGGCTCCCAGACCTGCAGAGGGATGCAATCCTGCTGCGCCAGAGGGTCCTGGTTCTGCAGATTCAGTTTGGTCTGCAGAGGGCCCTCCAGTCTCCCTTAGGGGCAGGAGGCACCAGGTCACTTCTGGACAGGGCACAAAGCACGCAGCTGCAAGGGCTTTATCCCTCCTGCACTTTGGGCAGCCACGGAAACAGCTTCCTCTAATCAGGGGTGTCCAACCTTTTGGCATCTCTGGGCCATACTGGAAGAAGAAGAATTGTCTTTGGCCACACATTAAATGCCTTGTGTGACATGTAGTCCCCAAAATAGCTCACAATGTTTCAAGTACATCTACGATTTTTTTGTTGGGCCACATTTTTTTGTGCCGGCAGGTTGGGTACCCCTGGATGCCTTCTGGATTGCTGAGCCCACCCAGATTCTATTCTGTATTCTGAGACCAGCAGGATGCGCACCCTGTAATATGACCACAGAGTTTGCACCGGGCAGGGAAGTAGCCAGGACCCTCGGGAATAGTCCTCCTCTAGCTCAGGGCGGATCCACTCAGGAATGGGCTGCGGACACACTGCCCAGGTTCTGAAACAACTTCCAGCGCACTCAGTGCCTAGCGCGCCAAGAGGCTAGGGAAGCGATCTGTAGTCGGGAACCGGAAGGTGGCGGGTCATGAAATTTACGCGCCCTGCGGAGGGCGGGGCTCCCTCTTAGGCGTTTCCGGCCAAAGCAGCCGTGCTTTCTCGGGTGGGCACCAAGGGTCCGTGGGGCCAGAGGAGGGTAGGGGCGGCGTTCACACCACCAAGTAGTCGGACCGCTGGGAAGACGACCGGAGGTGAGCCCTCCCGGTCGCGAATGTGCGCGCCGCGACCACGTGGTAGAAATGCCGCGGCGCCAGCCGGCTTCCCGCGGTATAACTTGGGGTCCATACATGCGGGCAGTGGCGGAGGTGGGGCCGCGGGTGGTTGCCCACGGTCTCCAGATGACAGGAATGGGTCTGTGTCACCCTGCGCCCATGGTGCCCTGCGCGCAGACTCCGGTCCGCGCCTCCGCATTCATTTGTGAGACTCCGGCCTGCACCCCACCCAACCGCCGCACTCACTTCAGGGACCCCCCAGGCACCCACAGCCCTCCGCCGGCGCCTTATCAGGATCGCGGCGTCCGCGGCCTGCATCCCTCTGCGTTCACCCCTAAGATCCAGAACTGGCTCTCTCTGCATTCACTTCTGAGGCCCAGAACCCGTGCCCCTGACCAGTCCCCCGCCCGCGTCCCTACATCTCCGGCCCGGCAGTCGGAGGTCTCACTCACGAGCGTTCGTGCAAGCGGAGAGTCACCTCTTGGGACCACACACGCATGCATTTCGCATCTTGGATCGCAGTTCCCTGACCCGCCCACGTCACTTCCCCGGGTCACGCGGTTCCCTCGTGGAGCGTGCCTGGGCGCCAAATGGGGGACACGGCCACCCCCCGTATGTCATTTGGACCCCGGCTGCAGCCCCCACTGGACCACTCCCTCCCAGAGCGCCCGAGTGCCCACTATACAGGCCCTAAGACAGCCCCCTTCAGAAGCCCCCTCGCCTGGCTGCAGCCTCCACTAAACCACCACCTCCCAGCTCGCCCCGGAGGCCGGCCGCAGCCCTCCCGCAGCCCTCCCGGAGCCCCTTCGCGCCTACTCACACGGTGCCCAGGTCACAGCTCACGGATGTTCTAGAGGCTGGAGGCCGTCTCCTACCAATCTGAAGGGAGGCCCTCCCCTCCCTCACCCCAGCTGTGACCGCCCCTTGGAAGAGTGCCGGCCCCCTGACCCCTGTCGCGGCCCCGCCTGCCTTCCTGAGCAAGAATGTCGTGTGCTTTTTCTTTTAGGCTCATTTTAAAACGTTCCAATCCTGGCTTACCCACAAGCTCCAGCCAGACACTGGTCACTGTGCCAGGCAGGACTGTTGGGGTTTGGCGGAGTTCTCCCTCCCCCAACGGGGCCTGTGCAGTTCACCCTGACCCACATTTGGCTTGGTGGCTGCTCCAGGACTACAACCAGGCACAGATACTTGACCATGGGATCATAAACAGCAAGCCCCCCCCACACACACACACATACACACACACTCCACATGTGCCCAGTGCCCGGGCTGAGAGAGGGGAGGGGTGGGGTGAGGGTGGCGTGCCCGATTGTGACCCAGGACTAGCTAGCAGCCCTGACCCCCATGCTGGCTCACCCCTCTGCACTGGGCCTGTTCACAGTGCGTTGAGGCCCCTAATGCGTGATTGGCACTGGCCTCCGGGACACTGGACGATGAGCTGCACTCTCCAGGCTGCCTACAGGCTGGGACATGACTGGGGAGGCTGGGGTTACCCAGGCTGTGACTGACACTCAGGTTTAAGGCATCGTAGGGAGCCCTCAGATGCCCCAACTACTGTCCCCTTTTCTCTGCTGGGAAGGGAAGAATCAGGAGCCTGGCCTCACAACCTCAGAAGCATCCACTATGCCCTCATGCCACCCAAAGTACAGGCACAAAGAGGTTTGGCCCCCAGGCCCTCAGTGCCAGAGAGCCGTTTCTGCCCAAGGTCCGGCCACAGCAAAGAACTGGGGTTTGGGTCATCTTCCGGCCAGAGGATGATGGTGGCAGTGTCTGCTCAGCAGACCCACGAGGGCTGTGTGAGGACTGCTGGGTCTCCAAGTGTGTGGGTGCCTGTTCACACCCCACAGGAACTTGGCCATGGACCCTGTTCAGGGGTGTTCAACCTGTGGCCCATGGACCATATGCAGCCCAACAGAAAGTTGTAAATTTACTTAAAACAAGTTTTGTGTGTGTGTGTGTGATTATGTGTCACAGTGTATTTAATACGTGGCCCAAGACAATTCTTCCAGTGTGGCGCGGAGCTGCCAGAAGGTTGGACACCCCTGCCAATATGTGAATGGGTGGCCACCTGCCGCTTCAGCCTTGGATTGATGTGAGGCCTTCTAAAGGCTTCTAAGTGGGGCCTGGGGTGGCTCCTGGGAGGTGAGGAGAGCTGAAGAGGGAGCACGTTCCCTGGCGGGTTCCCCTCCATCCATGCTGGCTCTTCTACACAGGCCTTCTCCATGGTGTGTGGGAGTCCCACCACCCACAGGCCTTACTCAGTAAACTGAAGGGATAAAGCCAAAGGGCATCTGTCCTCCTCTCTCCATGCCTGTGTATGGGCCCCACCTGAGGGACCCTGCCTATGGACATGGGGACCGGCTGGAGGGTGGGCAGACCAGCAGTGCAGCCCCTCCGAGAGCAGGATGGAGCTGCTACTAGAAACAGAGGAGTGGAAAGCAAGACAGCTGGCACAAGGGATAGCATGAGTCACCGACCCTCATGAGGGCTCAGTGAGAAGAACCCTGCCCATAGAAGCAGGATGATGGGCTCATCTGTCTTGGGGACAGGAGAGGTGGTACCCACAGCAAGCACAAGCGTGCACAGATGCCCAGAGAGCAGTCTTTCCACACCTCCCCCCACCCCCCAGCAAGGAGGACCTGAGGACCCATGGCTTCCTCTCTCCAGTCCCTCCCCTGATGGTGTCTCTCTGGCATATGTGGAGGCAGATGAAATGCTGGTTGGACCAAGCCTTTCCCCAATCCCCTGGCTGACTAGTGCCATGCCAGCCAGGGCTTCTAGAAGTCTCCAGGCCACACAAGGCCCAGGGTTCCTACAGGAGCTGTGTGCCTTGGGGGACATGGGTGGGGGGGCCTTGATCGCCCCTGCTCCTAGAAGAGCCGGCCAGGGCTGCAGGGTGTGGCAGGGCCTTGGTGACAGCGCCCCACGGGAGCTGTAACCTGCAAGCAGTGCTCCAAGGGAAGAGTGGCTGGCCCTGGGCAGCTCCTGGGGGATGAAGAGCTTCCAGAATTTTTGGTGTGATGCCTGCTGTCAGGAGCAGCCATAGGAGCCAGGGCATTGGCCTCAGAGGCTCCAGGGATGCAGCTGGTGGAAAGTGTAATCATCATACTGAGAGGTACAGAAACCAATGTTTTCGGGTGTCACTTTCGAGAATGGACCCTGCGTTTTAGTCATTGTAGCTTTAAGTGTTTCTCTGTGCTTAATAATTCATCCCCCAGATATGTAAGGACTGGCTTCAGGGTGGGGGTAGGTGCTGCAAGGGTCACAGAGGGAGCAAGAGCTGGTCTCTGGGTGGGGGGGGGCCACAGTCAGGATGGCCCAGCATTGTTGATCCCCGGCTTCCCCACCCATGGGTTCAGTCACATCTGCTCAGAGGGTACCCAGGGTCTGTCTACAGGCCCACAAAAACCCCCATCTCCTCCCAAAGGAGCTCAGATGGGCCCTGGAGTTGTACTGTGGAGCAGCACCCAGCCCTTCTTTCCCCCACCCTGAAGAGATACCCCCAGCTCACTACCTCCTCACTCCTCCCAGAATGTCCCCCATGCTCCCAATGCCCCTTCCTTCCCCAACACTAGGTAGAGACTGACAACTTACAGTCCAGGTCAAGACAGCGAGGGGCCAACCCTCCAGTCTGGGCTCTCCGGCCCTCCTCCCACCAGGACTTCAAGAGGACCTTGTCCTTGAGTATTAGTAGACACCAAGGTCTGGGGCTTGACCGTGGGGCAGCAAGACTGGAGGCGTGCAGCTTGGCCCCATCTGTGTGCACAGAGCAGCCTGAGCAGTGAAACAGAAGGGTCCTGGGGGTGGGGGGGGGCATGGTTACCTGGGGGCTTGTCCCCAACCAGATCCTGCTCGTCCCCAGTCCAGTCCACCTCTGAAAGCCAGAAATGTGGAAAGTGACGGGGCTTACCCCTTCTGGGAAGACACAAGCTGTGCCCGATTTGAACACAGCTGTCCTTGCTCCCCAGCCTCACAGGAGTCTCATGCAGGTCACCCACCCCCCAGTTCTCCCAGGCTCCAGGGCAGTTAGAGGTAGACTCCCCCTCCTGGCAGCCAGCTGCTGCCCAGGCCCCTCAGACGCTGCCAGGAGTGCTGGCCTCTAACCCAGGGAGACAGCCTACTCCCCAGCCCACAAAAGGAGGGACCAAGACATGGGGTTTGGGGGAATGGCCTTGAGCTGCACTTAGGAGAGAGCAGGGAGGAACGTGATTATCTCAGGAAGCTGAGGAGCCAACTGTCCTCTTATGAGATGCCCAGTGGGGGCCTGCTGAGGGCAGGAGTCTAGCTGACCTCTGACTTCTGCTGAATGAGACTGAACTCAGAGGCTGAGGATGGAGAGAAAGAGGGAGAGGCAGACAGAAGGGAGGGCCTGTGCTCAGCACTGCAAGGACAGAAGGTCATGCACTGACCTAACATACCTTGGCTGTCGCACAGCCAAGTGGCCTCTGGCCTGAAAGTGGGTGGGATGGACTGTGCCTTTCCCAGTCTTGGATTTTGCTGGCGTGTGTCAGCTGCAGAAATGGGGCTGAGACCAAATGCTAACACACACGTGCTGCAGGCACCCCAAAAGCACCTCTGGAAAAGGTTCCCACCAAGGCACCCAAGGACCAACCCCACAGTATCTGGCCCAGGAACCGTCTCCTCCAAGAAGACTGTCCATCCACCAGCTCTCGCCTTGGCACTGGTCCTCAGAGTGGAGGGGACCCAACGGTCCTTCTGTCCCACATCTTGGTTCACCCTTCATCATGAAGTGCATTCTGGCCTCTCTGGTGCCTGGAAGACTTCAGTGAGGATGTTGGAAGGGTCCAGGCGACCACCCAGGCAGAGGGACCTCGGGTCTGGCCCTTCAGAGGCTAAGTGCCCCCAGGAAGGCTCACAGCAGCCTGTGCCTCACTGTTCCACTAAGTGCTCAAGGCAGACAGAGCCAGGGATTCAGGGAGGGTGCTTTTCCCTTCCACGAGGATGAAATGCATGTTTGAGAGCTGTGTCCCCTTCCATCCATCATCTGTGGTCAGGGGAGGCCACATTTTAGGCTTTGAGGGCTTGGCTAGGGATATGCAGGACCTGTGCCCTCAGCCCTCAGGTGACTGTGTCACCCCCAGGACCCTTCTGTTTCACTGTGCTCAGGCGGTTCTGTGCATACCCGGTTGGGGTTGGGATGGACGCCCCTGCTCTTGCTGCCCCTCAGCCAAGCCCCTGACCTCAGTGCCCACTGGTACCCAAAGACAAGTTTGCTTCAAGAGCTCTTAGCTTCCTCCCCAAGGTCCAGGAGCCTTCAGCCAGGATCAGGGCAGAAACAAGGGGTGACATGTAAGCTAAGATGGGGCGCCCAGAGCCATTGGCAGCAGGGTCCACTTGGGGGGTGTAGCCCACTGAGCACCCAGTCCCACAGCCCTCCCCACTCAACTATGTCCTGGACTAAAGCCCACCCCCCACCATGACCTCAGGGTGGCAGAGTCACCCCTAGCTTGGCTTCGGCCAATGGATGTGAGCAGATAAGGGGGGGTGGAGGTGAAATGTATCCTGAGGTGGCACTTGCTTTGTCCGCCCCAGTGAGAGACTCTAAAGGTGACCTGGTGGCTGCTGATCCAAGGAGGACGAGAACCTCGAGAGGAGTGGGACCCCTGCAGCCCAGAGCCCCCACCCGGACAGGCCAATCCCCTAGCCACCCACTGGCCAGTGGGTGGGGAAGCATGCGTTCTTCTGACAGTTACGGTGTTGGGACTGTCTGCGACACAGCACTGTCGTGACGACAGCCGGCTGTGACGTGGGGAAGGAGACGAGACCAACCAGTCATTGAAAGTTTCGAGAAGTGCCGATCGCTGTGCCGTTCCCCTGGGCGCAGCGATAATGCAGAACGAACTGCTCTCCACTTCACAGTCAGACCTTTTTACATCTGGGTAGCTATTATTTTTAAATTATATAATCTATCAGCCTTATAGGTCTTTTAATTAATTTTTAAATTTGGAAATAATTATAGATCCATATGGAGTTGTAATAAACACCACAGAGGAAACCATGTATCCTTCGCTGAGTTTTCCCAAATTGGCTTCTTGCGAAGTTACTCAGCCGAGACGTCATCAGCCTTGAATTTAAAGGGAAAGAAAAAAACCTGCTGAGAAGGTAATGAACCTATAGTAGTCCCCTCTGAACTTGAGGCGATGGGTGTGGGTCAGCCCTTTGGTGCAGCCCGACAGGCTTCTCTGACGGCATGTTCCTGCCTTTAGAGGTCAGTCGGTTGGGTGGCCTTCCTCTGGGAGGGCCCTTGGGTCTCCCCAGCATTGGACCGCCCCCCCCCAAGGTGGGCTCAGGCCAGCAGCCACAGGCTGGGCGCTGGTTCTAGTCAGCAGTCGGCAGGTGCTGCTGTGTGGGGCTGACGCAGTGATCAGACTTGTCATCTCGGGTCTGGCTCCACCAACTCATGGTGGCCCTACCCTCCAGGGTCATCAAGGTTCCTCCTTCTGAAGCCCCTAGTGCCCAGCATGGCCTGCCTCATGGGGTGACCTGGGACCAAGGTCAGGAGCTCAGGGTGGACAGAGAAACAAAACCTGTAAGGGACACACCGGCAACCACAGAGAAAAGTGTGCAAGTGATGGGCTGAAAAGCACAGCCCCGGAATGGGCGTGATCCGGTGTTAACACCAGAGAAAGCGGCATTCAAGATAAAGCGTGAAACGGGTGCGGGGGTGCACGTTACCTGGATGAAACACGTCCACAGTGGTGGGGGTGCAGGAGTGAAATCTGTGGGACCAGGGGAGAGCACAGCCGCACCAGCCACTGAGAACCTGGGCTCTGGGGCACATACCGTATGTAGATCACAGAGGAAATGCAACATGAAGGCATACAAACCAAATTCTATTGGTGATTTTATTTTTTCATATAAAATGCAGTATGCGTACAGAGAATACACACTTTTTTCCCAAAGTCTCATGAAAAAGTTTAAAAGCTCCCAAACCAAGCTGCAAATCAAAGCCCAATTTCAAAAAAATTAAAAATTGGGGCAGACTGGTGGGGGGAAATGCAGACAACTATAATTGAACAACAATAAAATAATTAAAATAAAAATAAAAATTGGTTAGGCCACATTTTCTGAACTTAACTTTATAAAAGAAGACATTAATGAAACAAAAAGATACAATAAAGCTTAACTTGTTGAAAATTTTCAGTTATTTTTGCAAATGAGTCCTGAGTCAAAGAGGAAGTGGAAACTGACCTGGTTTTGGAGGAGAATTCATTGCACAGTGATGTTTGTATTATTTCCTAGTTTTATTACTCAAATTAAAAAAAAAACATAGCAGTTAACTCAGAAACTGGAACAGAAAAGGAACAAAGTCAATAAGAGAAAATAAAAAAGAATGAAACGACAAGAAAAGCAGAAAGTGGAAAGCAAATAAACTTGATCTTTTTAAACTAAAAGATAGTTCCTTTAAAAAAATAAAAGCTTCCTCTTCCTGAAACTGTTGTTACAGAATGGACCTGTGTGATGGGGTCAGACAAGATACTATTACCAAATGAACCCCCCCTTCTCCCTCAGTCCCCCTGTACTAGCTTAGCCTTGCCCATGGCCAGGGAATTCCAGCTCTCAATGTCAGAGATTGGTGAAAAGGAAAGGAATTATTTATTCAAGTTATACAGACAAGAGTAATGACTTAATGTCTTCATTAAAACCCCAAAGTCCCTTAAAACACCCACAAACACACACAGTTCTTCCTTCCCCCCCTCTGCCCGGGCCAGTCAGCCAGGGGTACTGTATTTCAGGAAAAGAAATAGAGGTCTGTGGCTCAGGTAGCCCCTCGGTTCCCAGTAGTCCGTGCTCAACTAGCAGGCCTTCCTCAGTTCCTGGCACCATCAGCAGTGTCACCGGGATCTCCAGTCCTTAATCCAAACCCACAGGGCACCTTCTCCTGGCCCACCAGCAACAGTCCTTTAACCCCTTTCCTTCCCACAGTGTCTCTCCTGTATTCTTCCAAACTGCTGAGAGAGAGGTCTGTATCGCTGCTACATCTTGCTGTCTGGCTTGCTAAGCTGTGTGGCAAAGGGAGCCCCCAAGCCACATGGTCCTCCCCTTACTCCGAGACCACGTGGTCCCCTCTAGCGTGGCTGCCGTGCCTGGGTTTAAATCCCAGCCCCAACCTTCCTCTGCAGCCCCATTTCCGATTCTTCCCACAGTCGGTTACACCTGCCAACACTCCCGTATTTTTCCAGCTTTTCTGGGCTGCCACAGTAAGTCCGGGCAGGCGAGGCCCTGTGGCCTTGCAGCAAATCATCTCTGAGGTCTCACTGAGGCAATGTAACCTACGTAACCAGAGAGTTGCCTCCCAGTTAAATGACCACAGTTGTTTAACATATCCATGAAACCAGTTCAAAATTATAGCTATGTTAAATGGCCATGCCTGAGGTCAGTTGCAAAACTGTTGCTATGCAAAACAGTTCTCAATGGCACTGCTCCATATGTCCCATCCCCCAGTTCAGACTTGTGGGGGTGAGGACACTCTTTTTTTAAATATTCCCTGGAACCCTGATTTCTGGACCCCCTTAAAAATCTCTATTTGGGGACCTCCTTTCTGCACACTATTACACTGTCCTGAGGTGACCTCTGAAGATGGTTTGCTATTCACTTGACTCAGAAAACCCCACAAAATCATGCAAATCAAGAGATTCGGACTTCCGCCAAGATGGAGGCATAGGTGGAGACGCTGTGCCTTCTCACACACCCAAGTTTAGAGACAACAAAATTTTAGCAACAGAAAACATAGCCAAAACACAGAAAATTGAACTTTTCGGAAGTCTGATAACAACGAATTCTTCAGCCGGACCAGTAAGAGGGGCGAAACCAGAAGTTGGCAGAGTGGGGTTGCACAGGAAAACTAGGTCAGATGGACTCAGGTGCGTGAATCCCAGGTGTTGTGTGCGTGAACACCAGGTGTGGTGTTGCAACAGGCGGACCCAGCGAGGGCACAGGGCAGCAGGCTGAACACAGTCACCCATTCACACACAGATAGACCTGTGAAGGAGCGAGCAGTGAGATTGACCAAGTAGGCCCCAGCGGTGGGAAGCAGCAGAGGGGGCTGCTACTGCGCAGCTCTGACCCCTCCCGCACCTACAGCATCACAACCCAGCGACCTGGGTAGCCCCGCCCTGGCGAACACTTAAGGCTCCGCTTCTCATACCTAACAGGCGCAAACAGAGCAAACCATTTTGACTCGAGAACAGCTCAAAGCCCCAGAGCCAATAACTCTAAGCGATGAAGAAATAGCCAAACTCTCAGATGCACAGTTCAAAACACTGGTGATCAGGATGCTCACAGAAATGGTTGATTTTAGTCACAAATTAGAGGAACATATGAAGGCTAAACTAATTGAAATGAAGGGAATTGCACAGGAAACCAATAGTGATGGAAAGGAAACTGGGATTCAAATCAAGGGAGTGGACCAGAAGGAAGAAAAAAATGACAAAACAGAAGAATATGAAGAAACAGGAATTCAAAAAAATGAGAGGCTTAGGAACCTCCAGGATATCTTTAAACGTTCCAACATTCGAATTATAGGGGTACCAGAAGGGGAAGAGGAACAGCCACCAGTGGAAAACTTATTTGAACAAATAATGAAGGAGAACTTCCCCAATCTGGCAAAGGAAATAGACTTCCAGGAAATCCTGGAAGCTCAGAGAGTTCCAAAGAAGTTGGACCCAAGAAGGAACACACCAAGGCACATCATCATTACATTAGCCAAGATTAAATTGAAGGAGAGAATCCTAGAAGCAGCAAGAGATAAGGGGACAGTCACCTACAAAGGACTTCCCATCAGACTATCAGCTGATTTCTCAAAAGAGACCTTACAGGCAAGAAGGGGCTGGAAAGAAGTATTCCAAGTCGTGAAATCCAAAGACCTATATCCAAGGTTGTTCTGTCCAGCAAAGCTTTCATTTAGAATGGAAGGGCACTTAACCTTCTCAGAGAAGGTCAAGTTCAAGGAGTTCATCATCACCAAGCCCTTATTATATGAAATGTTAAAGGGACTTATCTAAGAAAAAGAAGATAAAAAAGACAAACAGTGAAAGGACAGCAAACTCACAGTTATTAACAACCACACCTAAAACAAAAGCAAACTAAGAGGACAGCTAGATCAGGAGTGAAAACATAGAAATGAAGAACTCATGGAGGGTTAGCAACAGGGGAGTGGGAGGAGGAGAAGGGGGGAGAAGGTACAGAAAATAAGTATCATAGACAGTAGATAGAAAATAGATAAGGGGGAGGGCAAGAATAGTATGGGAAATATAGAATCTAAAGAACTTGAGACACGTGGTCATAAACTAAAGGAGGGAATGGTGGGGATGGGGGTGTGCAGGGTGTAGGGGAATGAAGGGGGGAATAGAACAACTGTAATGGCATAATCAATAAAATAAAAAAGATTCCAATCTATGTGTTCACTTTAAGAACACTCGTGAAATTGCTCAGGCCATCAAGGCTATGCATATTTAAAAAGCCACCAAGTAAAGCCACCAGGTGTCTGAAAGATGTCACTTTAAAAAAGCAGCATTCCCATTCCATCGATACAATGGTGGAGTTGGTAGGTGTGCCCAGGCCAAACAGTGGTGCTAGACACAGGGTCGGTGGCCCAAAAAGAGTGCCGAATGTTTGCTGCACATGCTTAAAAATGCAGAGAGCAATGTTAAACTTAAGGGTTTAAATGTAGGTTCTCTGGCCATTGAGCATATCCAGGTGAGCAAAGTGCCCAAGACGCAGCACAGAACTTACAGAGCTCGTGGGAGAATCTGCCTGCCACGCTGAGATGCCCCTACTGAAAAGAGCAGGTTGTCCCCAAACCAGCTGAGGAAGCTGCAGGAAAAGGACATCCCAGAAGAAACTGGAGAAACAGAAGCTCATGGCCCGGGACCAAATTCAGCGTGAAATAAATATGAATAAAGAAAAAAAAAGAACGTGGCATAGGGAATGCTCTGGGCAACTGGACCAAGAATTACAGTAACATGAATGTCGCAAGACAGAGGAAGGACTGCCGTGTGGAAGCTGTGACAGCTAGGAAACAACAGCCCACCCCCTACGCTGAGAGAAGTACTGATAGTGCCAGGCACCTGCACACAGGACAGGCTCCAGCACAGAAGGCA